TCAATTGGAACCGATCATCAAGGAGAGTCTGGCAAAATGAATCCCTTTCTTCTAATTTCTAATGAAAGAATTAAAATATCAAGTTAGGCAATGCAAAAAATAAGATACCATTCCTTGATGTGCTCTCTATCTATTATCATCCAATACCTTTAGAAAGTTTGTTTGAATGCATTTTATTTCACACTTTTTGACCCTCTCTACAGTTTTTTTAATCACAAGTAGAAGAAAAACCTGCATTTAAGTCAAAATTATTACCAACAATCATAATTTCATAACATATTCCACCCACACCTGCATACAACAACTGATAACAAAGTGTAGTAAAGAAAACAAGATTGTAATTCAAAATAATTACCAATTAATGCCAATTTTGTATAGAGAAAAATTGGGGGACATTAACTTCACAAAAAAATTTACTGTTTGGTACATAATGCTAAAATGAAGCTACTGGAATAACTATCCCTCAGCTGATGAAAAGTTATTATGCAAACACAATTAGAAAATCTTTCATTTCTCTTTGACACATGCAGCTTCTTCCAGACACTTGGGAAAGAGATGATGCTTGTCTAAAGCAGGATTTTGCCGTCTCAAACTCAGGAATTTAAATAAGAAACCTTACATGTAAATGTGCAAGAAATAATAGTTTCAGCATAATTGACAGCAAAGATTGAACTTGTTTTGTGTGTCTCACAACCATGGTGTGAGACTTGAGAGCTTTGAGAGCTTTAAACAACAGGAACCAAATTGCTACCTATTTTCAAGGGTTTTCTAGCAAGCAATATCAAAAATGTTCATGCAGATATACTGTAAACACTGGAATAAAAATGTGTTTGGCAGCTCAAATTAAAGGAGCACCAATTTTGAAAAGAAATCAAAAGAAATCACAAGTAAAGTTCTCAGAAAATTACATTGTTTTGGTTACTTCATCAAAGGTATATAGGCGTTAAGTCACCAACACTGAAAATGGAGAATACCCAGTACCATAAGTCGAACTCGTGTCAACCCCCCATTTTCAAGGTCGAAAATCAGATTTTTCATCATTCCTAGTCAAAGAAGTAAAATTTAGACAGATAGAAATTTCCTAAAAGGTAATCTCTTATTTCTGATGATGTATTGAAAATACAGGGAATTAAAAGAACTGCAGAGAAAAATGTAACCGTGTGCTATGAAGTTTACTAGCACTTGTTTATCGCACCACGATGCAAGCATACACAAGCAATTAGATTTACTAGAATTGTTACCATTTTTTGTGAATCATTGAAAATGAAATATTCTTGTATTTAACTAACCTTTATCTTAAAGTTGAGTTTGAAAGGAGATTAAGTAGACTGATGGAACATCAAAGAGCTTCAAAGGATCTCGTGTGACAAACAAGACTGCACGAGACAAGACTGCACGAGACAACAGCATTTGCCAGGTCACTGAGCTGCTGAAATTGATCAATGAAAACAAAAGTTCAACCCCATAAACAGCAGTGAAGCTGTAAGAAAAAATGTCTGCTCTATAGTCCGAAGACACAATAGAAATCAGCTCCAGTAGCTCTGTGTTAAGCCACTTAAAATTTATTGTTTCAAACTTTTTTTTGTTGATGAAGAATGCGCTGAAAATTAGCGAAACTCAAACACAATTATAACTGGTTTTATAAACTCAGTTTTCTTAACAGACTTCAGACAATTGTTATGCTAATTTATTGGATTGCTTGGGTCAGGTCTTAGTGTATGACTCATGTATAAGTCAAGGGTAATATTTTGAGATGATTATTTAGTCATAAAAGGTCGACTTATATACAAGTAAATATGGTAATACCCTTGCATAAAACCTTTTCAAGATCTCTTACTTATATTTACCACCTGAAAATCTTGATTGCAAAATGATTATACTATTAGCTTTCTCAAAATACAATGATACAAAAATAATATGCCTTGGATACTTTAATGTTACATCATAACTTTGTAATGGATCAAAATCAACAGTGATGTAGGTACTTCATGCCTAAAAAAATTGTGTGTTTTTTAACATTTGTGCCTGTGTCTTTTCAAAATTCAGTTCCCTTATACACAGTTTATAAAATCTGAGAATAAATTTAATGTAAGGAAAAGATGTGCCTCTTAATTTTTCTTAGCCAAATAAATAGACTGAAAAATATAGTTAATTCTCAAATTAGCCCTGCTCTTTATCATGCTTCCTATTGGCCAGCATTCCTCTTGTGAGCCAAAATTTAAATTTAGGATCTCCTGCTCTGAAATAGCTGTCTGCCGGCTTCCTACTCCTCTGTGTTCCTGGCTAAATCACCGGTAAGTTCACGTCTGTCTGATGAGCTTTCGGAGCAATTGTGGAAATGCGCAACAGTATATCTATATACTAGTCCTTAATGTCAAAATATTATTAAAAACTCGATACTTCGTTTATTTACAACACGTACGCCTGTCCCACACTGATCGACTCACCTGCTGTCTTTACTTTGATTTCAATGCTTTGTAAACGGGTGAAACTCCAGCATACCTTCAGAGTGTTGGTCAAACCGAATCAATGACAACAACTTCGCAAGACAGAGCCAGTAAAAGTCCCACGTGCGACCCTACCAACTTGTTGGAAACCAAATTGCTTAAGAGACGATAATCATATATAATAAAGTTCGGATATAACGCGCGCTGTCATTGGTTGAGAGCGTACTCAATCAGAGTTCAGAACATAGAGCTGAACTAACTATTCTACGGTGTTACACAAGGATTTCCAGGCCTAAGAAAGCCGTAACAACACACATGAAAAAATATGAATCATGCACCAGACCACAGACAGGGTCACAGATCGGATCGCAGATCGAAAAAATCAAATCATTCATAAAATAATAAGTCAAAAAATAAGAGTAAAAAAGCCTAAAATACGCTAATTAAATTAGAAATGTTGCATGACAGGCCAAAATAAACTCTGCGTGACATAATGCGACGCACGCCCCCTTGTGGTCACTTTGGCGGCTGTGTCGAGGAGTGGAGTGTACTGCCCCCATAGACGAAGACAAGCTAGAGTTACGTATCATTTCATCAGACAATTATTATTACTTTTTATTATCTAAACTACGGTGTTATATAAGGATTTCCACTCGTGGAAAAACATGATATTTTTCCACCTTTGTTTGGTATCGCCAATCAGCTGCTAACACTTATTCGCCTTTCGCGCCACTCGGTCAGGTTGATGAATGAACGGCAAAGCCAAGACACCATTCTCAATCCAAGGTCATTTGTCGGAATTTTTTCGGGCTATGGCTGCTAAAACACTGAAAAATACGCATCGCTTAGAGCCAATGACATTCAAACTTACCTAGGAGGGGAAGAAAACCAAAATACGGAAAGAAAAACTGAAAGTTACTTATTCAGTGGCTTTGGTAATGGCATTTCTCGCGGCTGAGAACGGAAATCGGCAACTAAAAGATTTGCCACAGGCCGTTTTTGGCCGTGTAACTGAAAGATTTCTTCTATCGGTAAGGCAAATATTATAATTGAGAATTTTGTATTTTAAAAATTACGTTCATTTACTTTTGTAGAGTTTCATCGCATTTTTTCATCTTGAGCTTTAACGCCAACGCACTTAACGATTTTTACTCGGGGATTGGCGATTCTTTCATTATCATTCATTAATAAAGTTGACTTTCTTGTCAGTTAAGGGAGATTGTATTTATTATAACTCGTGAGCTATTGAGTTAAACACTCGAAGAGAAATTCCATATCGACGCGCGCCCATATCAGTATAATTTTCTATATTTTAAATATCATCTCACACGCTACTTTTCCTTTATTCAATATCGTTTAGCAGGCGCGAGAGAAGAGGCGAGGTGAGGAGTGAGGTTTTTTTTAGATAAGACTACTGAACGACCACGTCTCGAGTTTCCTGCGTGCTTTACACCAGAACACTGCACAGCCATGGCTTCTCTACTTGCCAAGTAAACGATCATTACGTCACGGTCGCTATTGCCAAATTCCATGGCGGCAGATGAGCGGGAAAAAAGAGAGTCTGGAGGTCGTCATTTCGAAGATCTCGGTAGTTGCCTGTGCGAATAGCTAGTTTTTATTTGACGTGTTTACATCCAAGCCGGAGATTTATTTAACTCTGAAATGCAAACGGTTAAACTATTTGGAAACATGACTGACATTTAGAACTGAGACGCGCGCAACCATCCCAATATATATACGGCTTCAACTCTTTAAGTAAGTGGGACCTCCAAGGAAATGGCCCATATCCAACGGATGAATCACTATTCAGCGGACGAGTTAAGAAAACGTACAGCGCTATCCATCGGCTAGAGATTTACCCAGTGGACATTGTTCTCCACCCTTCGAACAACTGGGGCTTGATAAGCGATTACTTTGTTCTCCCAAATAAAAACGTAGACATGCTAGGCAAGCAAGACTTACCTTTTTGGGTGAGCCACACGTCTTAATAAGTACCCTGTCCCACTAGTGAGAGATTACTCAAGAATATAATTCACGAGATCCTTTTTGAAAACCATATTTGTATGAAAAAGGTATCAGTATCTCAATAAAGATTATTATTATTGTGACTAATTGACATTTAACCAATAATCATATTGGTATTGAAAAATGATAATAATAACAGTAAACAACTGTGAATTTATAAACATCATATAGGTTAAATAATATGTAACAATAGCACTTATAATGATGATGATGTTACTAATGTGGTCACAAAGATAGGGAAGATTCAGTAGACTCTTTCCACATTCATTTACTACATGGGTCCACCAAAATAAATTTTGTGTGAAATTTTTGTTGCAAGCTGAGCCGGTCAGAGTGAGTAAGTAGGCCATGCAGACAGGCCGAAGATACATTAGACATAAGTCTATAAAATATGGTTTTTATTTCTGTATCCCCACAGTTTGTGGAGTTAATTTGAGGTTTTCAAGTCCCTTTCAGCTCAGATGTCTCTTCTGTACCCTATATTCAATCCTTAGGGGTACTATGGTTTGTCTCATCCGTACAGGGCACCTTATCTGTGCGGGCATCTGTGTCCTTAGGAGACAAGGAAGAGTTTGTGTCTTTTCTGAAGGCAATCAACGTGACATAGTGACTGATTTGAACAGTGGGGTTCAGAACTTCAAGTAAATGAAGAAGTCCTAATTTATTTCAATTAATTAATTTTTGACAAATAATACGGAAGAATTTTAGATAAAGAAGACTTTTTCCCTAGATAATACTAGATTACAGAGACAAGCATGGAACAACATAGATAAACTAAATAATTTTAATGTTTTCAAAATCACATCTAAGCCATACAGCTTCATTTTTCGTCTAGCTAGGACATACATTAACCTTTTAATCACAGAACGTAAGACTGATTTGATAACTCTTGTCTATTTGTGGTATGCAGTCACGTCAGAGCGAAGGTTTACATTTCGATAATTTACATCTTCACTTGCGACATTTAATTTATCAATTGTTACAAACTGAAAATAAAATAATATAAAAGGAGAAAAAAATTATACAGTCAATTGCTTAAGACACTATATTTTGATAAAAATAGTTCTAGGGCTATTGGAAAAATTTTGCCGTTAAAATAGAATCATGTTCTCTCTAAATAAGTCAACATATTACTTTCAAAATATTCTCAAAATGGCTTTTGCCTTAATGTCCCTTAACTGTCTATCATAAATATATCTACAAATATCAGTTCATTAACCCTATACCATAAATTATTACTTAGAGAATGTTTTCATGTCAACTGCATTTTTCTCTAAAATCTCACTAGGTATATGTCACTGAATAACTATTCATTTGTTCTCTATCATAAATGATCAATCAAGAAACGTTTTAATGCTAACTGTATTTTTTTTTCTAAAATCTCATGCGGTATATGTTACCAAAAATTGACATACATGTACGTTTATGCCTATCATACATTATCATCATCTTATGACTGAAGATTGGAAAAGCGCACCATTACAGATGCTAGTTTTCTTGAATGCTGATTGTACATTTCAATTCATCTACGGAATCGCCAAATTGCAAGATAAAATTGATGTCTCCGGTAGAGGAAAAGCTAATTTTTGTGTTTTTCCATGAATCTATTAATTTTTTTTCTTTCATTGAGAATTTTTGGAAGGATCTTCCATTATTAAAAATGTCCACACACAATCCATTAATCTATGATTGAGTACAAGAAATCACCAAACCTTTTGACAGCTATTAGACAAAGTGTCAAATATTAACAAAAACTAATAGCACATGTTACACAAGCACTACCTATAAGGCCTAAGAGTTAAATTCATGTTTGCTCATGTACAGATTGTTGTCAAGGCTCTAGAGCACAAGCATAATTACATCTTTTTTTCACACGGAGGCTTCAAGAACTAATTTAAAAGCATGTAAAAGCACTGTGTGTTAAATTCTCCACATGCCTTTCACATCGAAAATTCTACATGAAATGTGTGAAAAAACTGAATGTAGACTACGCCTAGTTGTACCATTACAAGCACCTACAGGTATGTATCTAGTTTTTAAATATTTACAACATCAACTTATTTTCTCAGCCCATAAACTGCCATCTGAGGCAAACATGGTATCTCACTTTGCATTAACAGGAGTCAGTGGTCTAGTGCGTCAAAGAACTCGTCATCACCGGAATCTTCAAAGTCTTAAACAAATCATATAAATAAATTTTAAACTTCTCTCATAGTTTTACGAATGTGACAAAACCTTCAGAAGACATAGGTGCAATAGTTTTTCCCAGAGCCTTACACTCCAATGAGCTCATGAGAAGCCTTAGAAATATGCTGGGGAGTAACAATAGCCCTGATCATTCCATGTTACAGAACCCCCACAACTAAGTCACCATCAACTTTCTCTTGTTTGCATTGGGCCAAAATAGTGAGTGTCTTTCTAATTTTGAACACATCATAACTTCAACATATTAGAATTTAATAATGTATTAATTACCCTGAATAATTACAACTAGTAGCTTGGAAAATTAAGTTTACTGTTTAAAAACGTTTACCCAGCTCTTTTTGACATTTAATCACCTCAGTATAACAACTGAAAATTTACCTGACTCTTGGTGATAAGGAAATGGACCTGGCTGCTCATCAGCTTCTGGTTCAACCTCCTGCTCAAAGACAAAAACATTTCAACATTATCTATCTGGAAATGAGGAGTTGATGACTATTTGATTTCATTTATAAGGACTATAAATTCCTAAGAAGTAAAATGTAGGTTGGTATATTTACTAATTTATTCAGAAAACGCTGCAGCTAGAGTCAGCTCAAAAAGACAAAATAATTGTTAAATTTAGCCAAAGAAAGAATACCCTGACGTTTTTAAAAGGCTTTTAAATTACAGCACCCAGAAATTTGGTAAAAGAACTCTAGATCAAGCTAAGTACCAAGGTTCATTATGGATACATAACCTCGCCTCTTCAAGCCCAAGATACCAATAAGATTCCATGGTTTGAAGTACAGATCAAGTATGGTAACGCCAAGCAGCTTGGACATTATATAACACTAGCCACTTTGATGCCAAATGCAACCATTTATGTATTAGAACTATGACATTTTAAATCATCAAATGGTTAAAAATTGCACTTACGCTGCAATCTGATGCATTGTCCTCTCCTACAGCTACACTGCTTCCTTCAAAAGCAACACCACCTGCTTGCCTAGCCAGTAATAGCCTGAACCTGCAATTTTCCTGAAACAATTAATTATCACATGTGTAAACATTAAATTTTGGTTAATTTTCTAGAGTTTTAATGGTTTTTATTTTTTGAAGTGATATCACTCCAGGACAGTCAAATAGGGAAAAGGAAACAGAGAACCACAAGGAATGTCAAGAGAGAAATTGCTTCTCAATGCTAAATGGTTGCTTGTGCAACAAGACTATGCATTGAAGGTACATGTTGCTACTAGTAAAAACTATTTTGCCTGGGACAACTTGAGCTGCAATTAGTCAGTACAAAAACAACATCAACAACCTGACAAACAAACAAACATACAAAAAACACTCACTCAAATGTAGGCAAATATTTCACTAGAAATCTTTCAAGAAATGTTGATTCCTGAGAAGTGCTGTGATAATTAAGTCCACAGCTAGATTCTCATGTCGTAAATCAGAGAATGATATTCAGAGCTCAATACTGAAGCAATCAAAGTGCAAACCAAACCTCAAGTATCCTATTTGACAAACGCTGCTGTTCCTCCAAACTTCTCCTCAGCTGAAAGAAAAGAAATAATAGTTTCTAAGTTGGCAAACTTCAACTTCACCTTAACTTAAGATGATCAGTCTTATAAATATTATAGTCTTAAACTAAAATAACTTTGAGATATCTGTCTCATATTACATTTCAGAGGACTAACTTTAAGTAAATACAAGTAATACTTAACTAAATATAAAGACTGAATACCTATCTAAATAAACTAAATTTTCCTTGGAAGTAAGGCTATTTAGATGTAGATTAAACAATGAGCACTGATTACAGCAGTAATATTTAGTGCTTCCTTTTTATCTGATATAATTATGGAAGCTTAAAGGATGATTTTTTTGCAGCAGTTGTAATAATTGGTATAATTCTCTTTTTTTTTTTTCCTGTAATTTAGGTTCCTTAATATTTTTCAACAAAAAGGAATAGTTGTTATAGCATCTACTTAAAAGAAAAACCATTGAAGGATTTTCGGAAGTGATTGAAAGTTCCTTAACTGAGAGCCAAAATGTTAGGATTTGCTAAGGATCTACACAAGTGTTCTTTCTGCTTGACTGTATGATGCTTTGTCTTACCTCTTCATTTTCTGCCTGTAAATTATCACTGAAAATCCTTAAATTGGCATACTGCTGTCTGGATTCCTGGAACAAACCAATCATAATTAAAAGAGAACTGGTATACACAGAAGTCACAGGTGGAAATAATTAATGAATACAAATCTCAAAGGTTGACTACACCACATCAACTAGTAACAGTAACAGTAACACAATAGAATAGACAGTTGTACTGTAAATGACCATTGCTAAACCATTTAAAGGTCAGAGACATTTCAAGCCAATGAAGGCACTTTTCACCTCCTGGCCCCCTGGAGTTGCCATTAATTAACTGCCTATTACAATGAGTCTAAACATAAAAAGCACTTAAAACTGCCTTGAATAGCTCCCTTTAGCCTCTTCAACTCCTCACTCTTGACATACCTCCAAAGTTTGCCTTGACTGGAACAGATCTGCCCTGAGAGTTTGGCAAAATGACTCCTTTTCTCTTAATTTCTGATAAAATGATTACAATATCAAGTTAGGCAATTCAAAATAAGACCATTGCATGATGCGCCCTCCATTTTTGTTATAATCTATGTAATACCTTAAGTTGGTATTTGATTGATGTTTGATTGAATGCAATTGACTGCCTCCATATTACAAGTAGAAGAAATACCTGCTTTTTAGTAAAAATGATTAAACAATCAAAATTTCACAACATGTTTCATCCAGACCTTTATATGGCAACCAATAACAAAGTAAATAAAACAAATTAATTTCAAAATAATTACCAATTGCTGCCAATTCCATATAGCAAAGAAAAGGGGGGAAAAGTGTCACTACACAAAGATTTAGTGGCAAACTGTGTATTATGTAAATATGAAGCTAGGATTAACTACAGCTAAAGAAAAGTTATTGTGCAAACACTATTAGGAAATCCTTTATTTCTCTTTGATGCAAGCAGCTTCTTCCAAACACTTGGGGAAAAGGCATTGCCACTATTTAAAGTTTTAATAATTACACAGATTAAGGTTGAGGCATGATATCCAGATCTTTTTCTCTTTTGGTAACAGTACAAATATTTAAAAAAATTATAACAGGTTGGATCATAAACTCAATTAAAATTTCAACAGAATACTTAAAAATCCTCTATTGATTTATGCGCAACTTACCTTTGTTAGATACAGGACACTTTTCTCTGAAGATTCTAATTCCTGAAAAAAAGTCATGATGACACAGTCTAAGTTTAAGAAATGCAAGCATCTTACAAATAATAAATTATGTTTTAATATAAGATTTATTATTGTGTCTTCCAGACAATTTTTGAATTGATAGGACACTTTCAAGTATTAATAAAACCTAGGGATTTTGTGTTAAATTCCAGCAGTTTCATGAAGATATGAATTTTTAGGCCCACACTGCATTAAAATTCCACACTATTGTTAAAATACACTTGTCTATCTCCTCACAGGTGAATTCAGTTCAGACACAAGACAACCAGCTGACTTATAACTGAGTATTTCATTTTACATCTCACACAACCTAACTTTGACCCCCCAGGAAAACAATCAACATAATTATATGTGTGAGTCCCTAAAAATAACACATTCAGCTGCTTATGGTCTTAAATCTTACAAACTGTAAATTCCTGACACCCAGACAAAGGCCTCATGGTTTAATTGGCTTTTCCTTCTTTTCAGATAATGATTAAATTATTGTGTAAGTGCAACAGCACATTATTACCTGTTTTGTTTCTTCCAGAAGACCATTATTTTCTGTGGCATCATAATGTTCTACAGCTCTGTCATCTTCTTCGCCAGTCTGGTTTGGCCTGTTGTTATGACGTCCAGTCACTAGTGAGAGGGAATTTCTACCAGGTTGTGCTCCTTCTGGAGTGTTGGGTCTGGCTGGTGTTATTTTGCAGTGATCTAGCTTTCCACCTTCAGGTACAGTGGCAGATGCACTGTTTTGGTGCTGAATACCTTCATGCCCTGAGGCAGGTGCATCCATTCGAGTAGTGGATAATGATGTCATCTGGAAGAGGGAGTTGCCTTCTTCTGAGGAGGACTCAGTATCTTGATTTTCATTTCGTAACAAGGAATCACAAAAGATTTCACAACTAGCAGAATTTCTTGCAGCATTTTCAATCAATGCTGGAGGAGGGGAACTAGATTGAGGATAATCGCCCGTAAAATCTTCTGCTTGTATGGAGGGTAGATTTAAATTTGACTCACTATCCTGCCTAACATCATGCGTAACAGTGCTGTGTGAGGGCTGATACCAGTTCCTTTTTGGAATGGCTCCTTGGTATTCCCTTGCTCTCAGGTCATTCTCTTTGTTTGTTAATGAAGAATCTGGAGTAGAAGGACTGAGCTTGGATTGTGCTCTTTCAGGAGTAGTGAGTATAGCTGGGGTTCTTGAACGACCAGGCTGCATTTGGGAATCCTCTGAGAGGCTTGGCAGCAATCGAATCCCATGTTTAGCTTTTCCCGGCTCAGGTATAACAGTAGAGGCACCATTTTGGTCCTGATATTCTTCATTCCCTGTGGCAGGTGTGTACAATAGAGCAGTGGATGATGATGATGTTGTCTGGGTGCAAGAGTTACCTTCTCCTGAGAAGAACCCGGTATCTTGACTTTCATTTTGTACTGAAGAATCACAAAGAATTGAACAATCAGCAGCATTCCACTCAGCACTTTCAATTGACTCTGGAGAGTGGAGACTCCAGGATTGAGGACATTTATCACCAAAATCTTCCCCTGGCATGGAGGGTAGATTCAAATCAGACTGACTTCCAGGTGCACCAATCAACATTCTCTCCCCAACGTCAGGCTTAACAGTGCTGGGTGGAGGCTGAGGCTGTTTAGTTTTTGGGATGGCTCCTTCTCTTGCCCTTGGGTTAACTACTGGCAATTTTAAGGAAGGATCTGGAGCAAAAGAAGATGAATACTTAAGAGTACATACATGAGAGTGAAATGAAACATTAAGCTCATAATAAAGATTCCCAGATGAACATGTATCACAAGAACTAAGTAACATAAAACAGCAAATTCTCAATATGTACATGAACAATGTAGAAAAGTTTTGATAATATTACTCACAATCTTTAATATGCAATCATATAAGTCTTATATCTACAGTTATTCTGTTAGAGTAAAAAAAAAATGTTTTTTTTTAACATGCAATGAACAAATGAAATCCCCTAACAATTTACTAATTAATCAAATAGTTTTTCATGTTAGTTTAAGTCTTTCAGGGCAAATTAATAAATTCTGTGTTGTGGTTCTACAAGGTCAAAATAAGGCACATATAAAACTATTTTTTGAGGTGAAGTTGGACCCAAAGGCTGACAAAAAGTTCAAGCATTTACATTTGAAGTCTAAGCTGTAATTTAAAAATGTTTCAATCAAAAGGCTTCAGTTCTCCTTTAAAATTACAAAATACGTTACAGCTGAATAACCAAGATGGGTGTTATATGAATGTACATAAAACCTGCAACCTTTGGTTGACTACTGATGGAATATTGATAAGAAGTAAGATATATAGCACCATGCAGATTTCCAAGTTAGACAAAAGCTGGGCTCAAGATTGCAACCAAATGCTAAAAGTTCTGGTTTGGTTGCTACCTCGGCAACTAGATTTTTGTGTGTTTTTCAGTTAACTGTAAATGAGTCAAATTCAAGAGTACCTCATATTGTCTAGTGTTTCTGATCTTGAGAAAAAAGGATGAAACTTGTATAAACAAAGTCTGTTGTCATCGAACACCTCCATCTTATGACACACATTCTGAATGTACATACATGACCACTCCTTTTAAATGCAGGTGCAGAATTTCAAGAAGTTACTTCATATTTATCAATACATTGCACTAAGACCAGATTTGTGGAAAATAAAGAAGCAACTTTTCAACTGGCAACAAAATATTTAATGCTGACGTTATCACTTTACACCACTCAGGCACCAAGAGGCGAAAGGTAAAGGAACACTTTAAATAGCACATTTGATCATTGTCAAAATGAAGGCATGTTTGCAGTCACATATATATATATATAGTTCATAGTAACACATTGAGAAACACATGATTTTTCTTTAACTACGAGGTAAACTCACCATTCACACAAAGAAAAGGCTTATCTTGTAAAGGAACACCTCTTGGTTCAACTAAGTCCTGACTAGGTTGAGTTCCTTGCAGAGACTTCTCTGCTGGTAGTGACCCACTGCAGTTTACTTCACCCACAGCTGTTGGACCAATCATCATTACACTCTGATCCACAGCCAAAAGATCTTCAAGTTCCTTGGACAAATGCAGCTTCTTAAAAATGAACTTCCATTTTTCTAATGTCAGTGCTTGATTTCTGCTTTCATACTGGTTAACAAGATCAGCAACTGTTGCATAAGGAGAGGTATCATGAATGTACAAGGCTTGGGCTAGTTCCTCCAAAGGAAGTTTTTTCGACTCTAAAAGCTCCAACAATTTTGCTTTCAAGGTGGGAGAAACATCCAAATGTCGCCTATCATCCGATTCCATTTCTAAACAAAATACAGTAAGTTCTCGTTAAAGACATAATACCAACAATAGGAAACTAATTGCAACTCAATTGAATTTCAAACTACAACGCGAGAGTGTCCATTGATATTTGTTACAGATTGAACTTTTCCATCTGGATGAAAAACAAATGACTTATTGATTTTGCATGGAACATGTACACAAAAAATGGCAATCTTGAATTTATTTCATTCATGCTGAGATTTACACATGAAAAAAAGCCCACACTAAATTAATTCATAACAAATATACAACCAACCAATCAGAAGTGAATCCGACTGTGAAAATACATTGTCAACAGCGACTGAATGTCGCGCGGATTTAGTGGTGTTTGTAGTAAAATCTGCTTTGCAATTAAATGGCTTCCAGTCGTCAAGAGAAAAATCTCAATATGTATGAAATCAAAACATCAATGGAAATTACTTGAACGATTTCCACTCACTCGTGCGATGGATCGAAAAAACTCATTTCTTCGTTTTTTTTATTTTTTGTTTTTCTTTTTTAAGCATCGCAACTCGTAAATAAGAATCGTAAATAAGAATCGTTCGTGCGCACTTTCTATGGAATAATCTGTGTCCTTGTAAACAACTATTGACAAACGCACTTCCAAAATATTCCCACGTTTCACCCATTTTCACAGAGTATCTCTAAAAATTCACATGGTTATTCTCAAGTATTCTTATGTTAAGTAGTTTTCAAGATGTTTTCCTTTACTCGAAAAAGGCTTGCACGGTACTTAGCGCACTTAATACCAGTTCGTTGACGAAACATGCTTATTTAATATTCGTATTACAGCATGCGATCGAATATTAAATTAGGTTGCGTTCACTTCTGTATATTGAACTTTTGGGGGGCCGAAAATACAAATAGGCAGATGCATATACAGGTCTTAGTTATAGAAGCACACAGCTGATATCGAATTATCAGTAAAAACTTCAACATTTTCTCACACGGTAAAATTGGAAAGATACATACCGATTGATGAAAGTGCGTAGGAACTTAACTGCCTTTACTCTGACTTCAAATAGCGTTTACTCGGTTAAGACTCTAGCATATCCTAACAGTGTTGAGTTAATCGAACCAATGAAAACAATCCCGAACCGGATGAAATCAATTGTGCCCACAATTTCACGACCGGATAACTCAAAATGGCGTTTCCTTCGTAATGAACTTTGAAACCAGTACAGTTACGTCACTATTTGCCTTAGTGATTGGCGAATTCTTTGGCGGGAAATGAGCGGGAAATAGATTAAGAGAAAGAGAGCCTGAAGCCTTGGGTATTTACCTTTCTGAATGGCTGTTTTTTTGGTTTGACATTCTTCCATTTAAGATGGAAATTTAACCACTTTAAAGATATTAGGATCTATCATGCTATTCCTTCCAGTACTCTTATCACAATACTCTGGCGAGGCCAGTCTGGCACCTGTTCCTGGTTGATTTGGAGAGGAAAGCCAGAAAACACGAGCACGTTCCCTTGAAGGGAGTTATAATACGCAAGCAGATTTCAATCAGTAACCCCATGGCTTCAAAGCACCTTAGTGCCATCTAATGCATTCGTAGGGGTTTAATTTTGAGTTGTGATATTGTTAGTTGAGTTTTCGTTGATGCGTATCCTCTAGCCTACGTGTAGCCGAAGCCTCCCCCTGCCTAAGGTGAAACGGTCCCCTCGCTTCCGTTTCACCTTGAGGGGGGGAGAGGGTACGACTTCACTTAGCTTACGTATCCCCTAACCCCCTAGATAATGTTTACAACGATCCCCTACAAACACACATTTACCAAGAAACAAAATAATTTTGCTAGTATTTTTTCTTGGAGTTAAACAAGCATAATAACCCTACTTCTAAGAGTATGTTGAATATTGAAGAAATACCTGAGGTTCACACCTCATAGAGTCTTCACATTCTACGGTCCTGAGCCCAGTTGTATATAGGGTGGATAACGCTATCCGACGGATAAATCGCTATCCAGCGGATAAGTGATAGCAAAACGTAGAGTGTTATCCACCGGGTAAAGATTTATTCAGTGGATAGTGTTATCCAATCTTCAAGCAACCGGGGCCAAGAGACTAAATTTCTCTCTCAAATAAAAACATTGGCATGCTACGTAGGAAAGACCTATCTTTTTGGATAGGTAGGTCAGTTCTATTGAGGAGTAACCTGTTCCACTACAGAAAGATTACTCAAGAATATAGTGACTAAATATACGTTCGAACAATAATCATAATAATATTAATAGAATGATAATAATAACAGTGAACGACTGTGAATGTTTGAATATCATATGACAGTTACACAATTTGTAAAAATAGCAGTAATGATGATGATGATGGTCTCATGGGGGAGTTTCAGCAGACACTTCTCAAATTCAACTTCAGGATGGGTCCACCAAAGTAAATTTGAATAGGCAATAATGATATACTCGACAAAATGACACGCATGTGATTGGCTGAAAACGAGTGCATTTTTCATGTAACACGAGTACACCAGTGCAAAATACAAATAACGCGCGCGCTGTCAGAATAACGTCTGTCTGTCTGAACTTTCTCTATCTTCTGTGTGCTCCTCATTTAATCCTTCTTGTCAGTCTCGTTCATATAAGGCATCTCATTACATCTGTGTCGTTAGGAGGCTGGGGAGAGTTTGTGGCTTTTTCAAAGCCACGATAGCATAAACGTCATGGCTGAATGCCATATAGATACAATGGCTGACGACAAAATGTTGGAATGATGTATTACCATATGGACGACTTTTGGGTTTGGCTTACTTAATGCAACAGGACATCGTGACAATTGCTGATTCAAGCAGCCGGTTCAGCACTCCTAGTAAGTGATTTATTCCGAGTAGCATTAGTCATTGTCTAAATGTGGATAACTGTTTTTTTTTTATTCTCCTAAATAGTCCGATGGATAATTCCAGATTCCAGATACAAACTGGTCAGGATTAAGAGCAGCACACATAGAACAACAGAGGTAAATTAAATACTTTTAATGTTTTTAAACATCGCATCTACAAAATGACAGCTTGATTTTTTTGTCGAGCTACGACATATAATAACCTTTGCACAGTACGTAAGTCTTTTTGATAATTTAGTGGTATACAGTCACGCACTTTGGCCAATACTTCTGTCGAATTTAAATTGTCAAGACAACGACATGTTTCTATTTCCGTTCGGTTAATTTCCTAAGGAAGCCTGATCCTTTTCCAATCACTTAGTAAAAATCTAGTAGAAGAGAGAGAAAGTGTCGTTTTCTCTCTCAGTCGGTCAATAGAATGATAACCTGAAAACTGCTTTTGAAATTCTTATTGGCTCTGCGAACACACGACTGCATATCAAATATATTACTTAACTATTTTCCAGCCTGACTACTTTGTATCATTATCAATTGCATCATTATTTATCTATCATGATTAATTATTAATTATAAATATTATTTTCTATCATTATTAATCCTCCCTTTACAATCCTAATATTGTTAGTTATTAAAATAACTCTCACCATTTTGAACGTGATCTGATCCCCACCCCCCGCCCCAAGAGATAAATAATGGCCGATCCCTAGTTGAAATTAATTTGAAGAATTCGTCAAAAATAAATTGAGTCAGATAAAATAAATCATCATATTCAATATTCAATAACTTTTTCCGTCAACCACCATAATTATTCTGTTCCAAGGCCAGGAAAAGAAGCACTGAAAACCTCAGCTTTTCAGTAAAATTTTACATCGAATGTAAATAATGCATGCCTTTGAGAATGAAGTGATACATGCAGTGTAATAAAATGAATTCATGGAATAAGTTTGAGAATTAAGTGATACACTCAGTGTAATAAATGAATTCATAGAATAAGTTTGAGAATTAAGTGATACACTCAGTGTAAGAAAATGAATTCATGGAATAAATTTGAGAATTAAGTGACACACTCTGAGTAATAATATGAATTTTTGGAATAAGTTTGAGAATTATGTGATACACTTAGTGTAATAAATTGAATTCATGGAATAAGTTTGAGAATTAAATGATACACTTAGTGCAATAAAATGAATTCATGGAATAAGTTTGAGAATTAAGTGATACACCATGTAATAAAATGAATTCATGGAATGAGTTTGTAGGAAAATCTAGAAAAAGTGATTCTGAACGTTATAAAAACCTCAGCTTATAAATACTGATGTAAACAACACTAAATCTAATAGAATATTTAAATTATCATAAACAGTTAAAAGTACATAATCCACTTTACGGAGATTGCGTTAAAGGGGTAGCTACAAAATATACAATAGAGAAAACTTCTTGGAAACTTTGGAAAATCACAAATGAAGACACGACTGCTTCTTGCATTAGGACTTTTGGCACAAACGTGCATACGCTACTATTCTTTTTCCTCTTGCAGCTTTGTATGGAAAGGCCAACTGTTTCATATGAAAAATTACTCGTTGCATACAACTAATTATTCTACATAGCAACACCTTAAATAGACATTCACCATCATTTTCAATATCATTAAAAAATTATATTCACCAAACAATTTTAAAAAGCATGAGCACTCACAAAAGTTGCTCGCATGATGTAATAACCCTTATAAAATTCAGCTAACTTTGCCTACTTTTTACAGCACATGACTTCTCACATAGAAAAAGTTGTCACCGATTTCAAATGCAATTCAAAGACCAATTGACATTTAGTTACACAACAAAATTCAGATGTCAAACCATCTAAGAATGAGCAGGTAAACTTTCTCTCCAGATTTACACCAATCACAAATGATCCAGAGCATCCTCAAATACTTCTTCACCATCATCACTCTCCTCGCCAGCTTCTACTACATTCAAGTCCTGAAATACAAGAAAGAGTGAAAATATTTCAGTTACATATAATCAATGCTTTATTTCCATTACTCACAAAAAAATCTTTGTTTATAATAATTTTTTTTTCAAGAGAGTGTAGATGGTTTCTATTATTTACAGCGTGCAACTAAATTAATTGTGGTTATCAAAAGCTCATTGCTTGCGCTTTTTAGGGTCAATGTTTCTTGAAATTGAGTGTATACATCTGCTGATGTTAAAATGTTTTTACAGTAGGTGTGTCTGAATAAAATATCCAGACAAACTTTTATTTGCCTAACATTTTCCTAACATTTTCTATTCATCTCAAAATGTAAATTAAATGTTCACTTGAATCACAATGTTACCATGACATCATAATCTTTATCGTATTGCAGTATATGAAACTTGATGAGTAAATGATTAGTTGAGTTAGTGAACACATATGTTTGGATATTTTCCTGAGAACTAGAACCGCAAATGTTGGTATGCAAATTTATTTATATATAGTTTCACTTTTCAATATCCTGTTACATTTCTAAGTGCATCAAATCAGTAAGCATTTTGTGATTTATTTTCACTTGACCTTTTGCTTTATATGGAGAATAAGTGAATAAAGTAAATGAGTGTGACAACAAATGTTTATTAAGTTTATCCAAAGCAATCACACACAAAGTACCTCAGAAAGTTCTTGACTCTCTCTTCTCAGATTTGCTATTTGGGTCTGAGAACATTCACTTCCTTGGTCCATTTGATGGATCCTCTTCAATGTAAAAACAAAATTATAGAAACATTACACAAAACAAAAAAAACAAAGAAAAAACTTACACACAAATCAGACATCAGTAATCATCAATGTAAAAAGCTTTTACATTATAGCACTCAGAAATTCAGTAAAAGAAGTCTAGATCCAGCTCAATACCAAAGTTCATAATGAATACATAACCTTGCTTCTTCAAGCTCAAGGTACTCTTGGCAAAAAGTAACAACATGGTCCTATATTAGCATCAGTATGAACAAGATTCCAAGGTTTAAAGTACATATCAAATATGGTAACTTCACGCAGCTTGGATTTTATGCAACACCAGCTGCTTTGATGCCAAATGCAACCATTGATGTACTAGAGCCATGACTTTTTAAATCACAGAACGGTTAAAAATTGCACTTACGCTTCTATCTGACGCATTGTCCTCCTCTAAAGCTGCCCTGCTTCCTTCAGATGCAACATCACTGGCTCGCCTTGCTACTAATAACCACAACCGGCGATTGTCCTGAAACAATTATTACATGTGTAAATGTTTCATGTTTATTAATTTCTAGAGTTTTAAAGTTTTTTTCAGGGAGTGATATCACTCCAGCACAGTCAAACTGGGAAAGAAAACAGAGAACCACAAGGAATGATATGTCAAGAGAGAAATTGCCTCCCAATGTTAAAAGGTCGCTTCTGCAACAATTATGCATCAAAGATACACTTTGCTAGTAAAAACTATTTTGCCAGGCATAACTTGAGCTGTGATTAGACAGCACAAAAACAACATTGACAACCTGACAAACAAACAAACATACAAAAAACACTCACTCAAATGTAGGCAAATATTTCACTAGAAATCTTTCAAGCAATGTTGATTCCTGTGAAGTGCTGTGATAATTAAGTCCACACCCAGATTCACATGTCGTAAATCAGTGAATAATATTCAGAGCTCAATACTGAAGTAATCAAAGTGCAAACCAAACCTCAAGTATCCTATATGACAAATGCTGCTGTTCCTCCAAACTTCTCCTCAGCTGAAAGAAAAGAAATAATAGTTTTTAAGATGGCAAACTTCACCTTCACCTTAACTTTAGACAATCAGTCTTATTAATATCAATAGTCTTAAACCACTTAAAAATACCTTTAAGAAAGCTGTCTCATATTACATTTGGGAGGACTAATTTTAAGTAAATAGAAGCAATACTAAGTAAATATAAAGACTGAATACCTATCTAAATAAACTAAATTTCACTCAGAAATAAGCCTACTTAAATGTAGATTAAACATCAACAAGCACTGATTAAAGCAGTAATGTAGTATTTCTTTTCCATCTGAAACATTATATAGAAGCTTAATTGATGATTCTTTGAAGCAGTGACAATAATTGGTATAATTCTCATTTTTTTCTATGACTTTGGTTCCTTAGTATTTTTCAGCAAAAAGGAACAGTAATTACAGCATCTACTTTCAAAAACAATTCCACTAAAGGATTTTCAGAAATGATTGAAAGTTCCTTAACTGAGAGCCAAATGTTAATGTCAGGATCTGCTAAGGATCTAAACAGGTGGTCTTTCTGCTTGACTGTATGATGCTTTGTCTTACCTCTTGATTTTCTTCCTGCAAATGATCACTGAAAACCTTTAAATTGGCACACTGCTGCCTGGATTCCTAGAACAAACCAGTCATAATTAAAAGAGTATACACAGCAGTCACAGTTTTGTGGTGATAATGAATACGAAACTCAAAGACTGACTGCTCCCACATCTACTAGTTAATGTAACACAATAGAATATACAGATCTACTGTAAATAACCATTGCTAAATCATTTTAAGGTCAGAGACATTTCAAGCCAGTGAAGACACCTTTCACCTCCTGGCCATCTGGAGTTATCAACAAATAACTGGCTATTACAATGAGTCTAAACATAAAAAGCACTTAAAACTGCCTTGAATAGCTCCCTTTAGCCTCTTCAACTCCTCACTCTTGACATACCTTCAAAGTTTGCCTCGACTGGAACAGATCTGCCCTGAGAGTTTGGCAACATGACTCTTTTTCTCTTAATTTCTGATGAAATGATTACAATATCAAGTTAGGCAATTCAAAATAAGACCATTCCATGATGTGCTCTCAATTCTTCTATCATCCAATACCCTAAGTTTGTAGAGTTTGAATGCAATTGACTGCCTTTATATTATAATTAAGTAGAAGAAATACCTGCGTTTAAGTAAAAATTATTAAACAATCAACATTTCACTACATTTTTCAAACCTTTATATGGCAACCAATAACAAATTAAATAAAACAAAATAAAGAATAGAGGGGAAAGTGTCACTACACAAAGATTTTGTGGCAAACTGTGTATTATGTAAATATGAAGCTAGAAATAACTACAGCTAAAGAAAAGTTATTGTGCAAACACTATAAGGAAATCCTTTATTTCTCTTTGACATGAGCAGCTTCTTCCAAACACTTGGGAAAAAGGCATTACCACTATTTAAAGCTTTAATAATTACACAGATTAAGGTTGAGGCATGTTATGCAGATCTTTTTCTCTAATGGCTTTTGGCAACAGTACAAATATCAAAAAAAATTTTGAAACAGGTTGGACCATTCACTCAATTAAAATTTCTATTGAATATTTAAAAATCCTCTATTGATTCATACACAACTTACCTTTGTTAAATACAGGACACTTTTCTCTGAGGATTCTAATTTCTGAAAAAAAGTCATGATGATACAGTCTTAGTTTAAGAAATACATTCAAGCACCTAAAATATAACAAATTATGGTTTAATATATGATTAATTCTCATGTGTTCCAGACAATTCTGGAGTAAATAGGACACTTTCAAGTCTTAAATCAAACCTGAGGATTTTGTTGTGTTCAATTAAAGCAGTTTAATGATAGGAGTTTTAAGGCCCACACAGCCTAAAATTCTACAACTACTTGTACAAATATGTTATCTCTACACAAATGAATCCAGTTCAGGTAGAAGACAATCAGCTGACTTTTAATTGAGTATTTCATTTTACATCTCATACAAGCTAACTTGAATTTTGACCCCTAGACAAAACAATCAACATATAAATCTTGCAAACTGTAGATTTCTGAGACCCAGACAGAAGCCACATGGTTTGATTGGCTTTTCCTTCTTTTCAGATAATTATTTAATTATTGCACAATAACTGTTGCACAACAGCACATTGTTACCTGTTTCGTTTCTTCCAGGAGACCATTATTTTCTGTGGCATCATAATGTTCTACAGCTCCATCAATTCCTTGACTATTTTCTAGGACAACATCCACTTCCACTGGGTCAGTCTGGTTTGGCCTGTTGATATGACGTCCGGTCACTAGTGAGGGGGAGTTTCTATCAGGCTGTGCTCCTTCAGGAGTGTTGGGTCTGGCTAGTACTATTTCAAAGTGATCAAACTGCTTGTTGGAGAGGCTTGTCATTGACTGAATCTGATGTTTAGTTTTTCCACCTTCAAGTATACTTAGACTGGATGCACTGATTTGGTACTGGACACCTTCATGCCCTGAGGTAGGTGTGTCCACTGGAGTAGTGGATAATGATGTCATCTGGGGGTGGGAGTTACCTTCTTCTGAGAAGAACCCAGTATCTTGATTTTCATTTTGTAGTGAGGAATCCCAAAGAATTTCACAACCACCAGAATTTCTTGCAGCATTTTCACTTGATTCTGAAGGAGGAGAACTAGAGTGAGGATAATCAACTCTAAAATATTCCTGCTAGTATGGAGGGTAGATTTAAATTTGACTCACTACCTGGTAGACCTATGAATAATTCCTGCCTGACATCATACTTAACAGAGTTGCGTGAAGGCTGATACCAGCTCCTTTTTGGGATGGCTCCTTGGTATTCCCTTGCTTCTGGGTCATCCGCTATATGTAGACCAGTTTCTCCAACCACATCATTTTCCTGACCAGCCACAGGGTTCAGATGTAATTGATGAACTGTAATACTGCCCACAGGCTTATTTGCTCCTTTAGGGGTCACTGGCCTTGTTCTAGTGCTTAAGGTCCTTGAGTCATCTAAATATAAACTGGGAATGGTGTCAATCTGGGATGCTGAACCACTGTGGTTGTCTGGTGCTGATGCCTGCTGGCAATGGCTTGCCATGGTTTCATGCACAACATGTGCTGGCAATGATAAAAGAGGGGCCCTAGACATTCTTCTGTTTTCCTGCAAGTTCTGTCCATTCTGATCCTCAAGCTGTAAGGAGCAATTTTCTGAAAAGAATAAGAAAGATGGTAAATTTTAAGCTTGTTAAAGAAATATAGAAAGATGTTTTTTATTTTGTCATGAGAGTGGGACAATTAAAAAGTTTAGAGTTCTCATGAGAAATCAAACCTCTGACCTTCGGATTCCATGTTCTAATGCTCTACCACTAAGCCATAGAGACACTGTAGAGAGCAAGGCCATTATGAAGTTTATTTGACACACATCCTGCATACTGCTAGGATCAGCATACTATCAACAGTACGTTATCAACATTCCTGATCCTAGCAGTATGCAGGACACATGTCATATATGAACTTCATGATGGCTCTGCTCTCCATAGAGTCTCTGTGGCTCAGTGGTAAAATTGAAATGCAGAATCAAAAGGTCTGAGGTTCGATTACTCCTAGGAAGTCAGGATTTATTCTCTGTCCTACGCAAGTGACTGGTTATGAATAACTGGTTGTAACTGGTTGTGAGTCATCTGAAGACAAACCATGATCTGAGTCAATCTGCCATGTTAAACTCCTTCCTTCCTCTTTCTCTGTAACACTTGTGCCAGGTGCAGCAAATTGCTCCAACTGGCTTGGTAAAGGTGCAGGTGATGACAAAGAAGAGTCACCATTCCAAAATTCCTGTAAGTTCTGCCCATCTGAAGAAACATCTCTTTCTCCAGCTTCATCATCTCTCATTTCCATGGTGGTTTCTTTCCAAGTTTCCTGACTCAGGTTATCTTCTGAAGGCGGTGGTAAACTCCAATCTGGCCAATTCTTGGATGAAGACCTTGTCTTCTGGGTCTCCAATCTCGACACTTATTACAAGAAAACAAGGGGACAATTACAAAAAAGGTACCAATAAAACTGCTCTAAGTTTAAAGTTTAATTTTAATCCTGCAACTGACAAAGCCACCTCTCATTTGTCCCTGGCCTTTGGTAAATGATCCTAATTTTACACTCTCATTCTGACAAAAGTGTTAATAAGGAGTGGCCTAATGAGCAGTTTAACCTTCAACTCCCAACATCTGATTGTTGGTTCTCCCCTCTAGGTGCTGCACATTTCCTTTTAAATTAGTTACAGGAACTTGGTGTTAGATTAAGTCAGCAAGATCTACCATGCCTGAAAATTTTGAGTATATATTCTCATCACCTGTTTGAGAGATAATGTATGGATACTATTGAGAGAAATTACAAAATTATCTCCCGATGGAGAAAGCAAAATTGTAGCAGATTTGCAATTTTCAGATGCAATGAGCCAGGTGATAAGATCTTCATTTACTTTATTCAAACCACACTAGTCACCTAAGAGACCCTAATTACCTTTATAGGAGAAATGTCCTTTATGAAAAACTTATTAAGAATACTTACTTATTCTAGAATGTGTTAAGTCCAAATTTGAATGTAAACATCAATTACCTTTTAGATTATTAAGCCTTGTCTCCTTCAATTTGTTTGAAAGAGGCTCTTCAGGCTTGTTCCTGTATGGTGAATTCTCCTGCAGACTTCTCTCATGGGTGTTATCATAAGCCTTCCTTGTATGCTGGTCTTGAAGAGGACCTTCTAATGTTTTAATAGGATTTGTGAGTGGCCAGTGATCAGCATCAACAAGTTTCTCAAAATCTTTCCTCAATGAGAGACGTACAAAGATAAACCTCCAAGTATCAAGAAACAGTTCTCCATCTCTTTCTTCAGCAAAGGCAATAACCTCTCGAACTGTCTTGCCTTGGGTTTTATTGATTCTGAGCACTTTTTTAAGGATATCCATAGAGTCTCTATGTGATTCTATCCGAACCATTAACTTTTCCTTTAGGGAACTGGATGGCCTTCTGACCAGTGATGAATGCCCTAGAGTAGAAATGAAACATGAGTTTCACAGAATAGTTACCACAATATTCTACAACACCTTTAGTCGATAAAACAGTAATAACAAATATCTACGCAGGATGGCCCTTTGATACAGGAGTATGTTATTAAAGGATTCCTATTCACATGAAAAAATAATTGTGGGTCTATAGAATGATTCTTAAAAAGAACTACAAAATTGCCTAGTGAGCAGTGAAAAGAAACAAATAAACAAGCCATTTTCTTCAAGATGTTATCAACTGTGGTTAGGCAGAGTTCATAGCTTAATCACTGGAGTTTGGCAGAAAAATCCAGTTACTTGACTGCTCTAGGATTCTGATTTGACACCTGTGTGTCTCTGGCTAACCAAGTGTGTTTTGGCCACAGTAGATTAGTTAAGTTGTAAAAGAATAGTTAATTATGAATATAAGGCTTGCATCAGTATGACCCAACTCACTGCGGGGGGAAAAAACCTATTTTTTACCAGCCTAGGCCAGTCTAGATCTGTATTCAGAAAAAGTGTGGGGATTTTGTCTTAAGTATGGCTCTCAACAAGACCTCAGCAAAGTTTTTCGCGATATAGACCTCCTGTCCAGGTAAACAGATCATTATATATTGTACATATCATCTTGAACTGTTGAATAACATACTTGTAAGAAAAAAAAAAAATAGCAATTAACACTTACCAAAAGACATGATGGTTCACCTAGTCCTTGTCTCTAATATTATATTTTGAGAATTCTACAACAGATAAATTCATGAACTGTTATTAATTTTAAAGGCATCTCATGCGAAACAACAAACTCAACAGACATGATATGGAAACCACGTCAAAGAAACTATGAAACATTTTCACTTATCACATGAACTAAGTCAACCTGCACGCAAGACTAGCTGTACGTTAAACGAGAGTGATCTTCGCAGTAATAAACACCACTTCAGCAGAAGTAAGAATAAAGCCTGATAAAAAAAATTTGAGGTCTATGCGAGAGTTGAACCTCTGTGATACTGGTGCATCCTTACACGAAAATGATGAAGAATTATGATAACACACAACCTCCGATTAACAGCTTCCGATTCTAACATCAGCTCGTCAAAGAAACTATAAACATTTTCACTTATCACATGAACTAAGTCAACCTGCACGCAAGACTAGCTGTACGTTAAACGAGAGTGATCTTCGCAGTAATAAACACCACTTCAGCAGAAGTAAGAATAAAGCCTGATAAAAAAAATTGAGGTATATGCGGGAGTTGAACCTCTGTGATACTGGTGCATCCTTACACGAAAATGATGAAGAATCATGATAACACACAACCTCCGATTAACAGCTTCCGATTCTAACATCAGTTTAAAATGTGGGATTTTCAGCGGCCAAACTGCCCCACGTGATCGAAAGACGGTGCGTAGAAACGTCAAAAATCAAAATATTGATCAAAGTATTGCCTCAATGCAATACTCGCATAAGAAAAGCACATATGGTTCAAATTTAATTACCTCATCATCTATGTTGATCTCTGTTATAAAATTACTTGAGGGATGCCTTACAAATAAACCTAAATGAAGTCCGATATCTATCGATGGTACTACTGTAAGTTATTCGAACTGAGAATCGTATCTTTGATGCACTGAAATTTGTATTCACAGCAAGATTCTGAAGCATCCAAACGAAGTATTGTAACTTATCTATACCGAGACGCTTAACCTTCTCAAACCTGAGACATTTACCTTCCTGTGGCCCGTCGGACGAAAATCACACTTTTCCACACAAACACGCCACACACCATAGCTCCTCCACAAAGTCTCGAATGCAAGTTTTCTCTACATCTAAAAATAACTATAACTTTACTTAATACTCGTAACGAGGCTCGTGAATTGTAGCGAAAGAAGACGACAAAAATAAACTTCCGGAACTATCCGAAAGCAGTCGCTAAGAAATGGCGCGAAACTTGCTGTTTTCGCGGATACAACGAGCGTATTGCACTCTGGGATCATCGCATTGCATTATGGACTGCAAGATGGCAGAGGAAATCAGGGTTGTATAGGATTTGGAAATATTGGTAAGGTAAATTCCTGAGTTAAGAGCTTTTCTTCTCGCACGATATGTACTTCTAGGTTACCAAAATAAAGATTTTCTTATTAAAAAATTGTTATGCAGCGGTTTTTATTGTTTTACAAGCAAAAGAAACACGTGAAGAGTCACTCGAACAGGTAACTTCTTGGTGTAAGCACTCATAAGGTTTGGGAAAGTACTCACATAGTGGTCTGGTACTTGTTAATCCTAAGCAATGATAATAATAGTAATAATAATAGTAATAATGATAATAATAATAATAATAATTTCCTTTATTTAAACACAAGGATTTAAGCTTTTCAGCATGTGAGGTCGTGTATAAATAGATAAATGAATATAGATAGTTGCATAAATGGTAATTATAAAATAAAGTTTAAACTTTAATATCTACCTAAAGGTACAAATATAAAATATGGTATATACTTCATAGCTGAATGCCATATAGATGATTAAATGGCAGAATTATATCTTACCACAGAGAAGATTTTTGGGTTAGGCTTACTTGGGGCGCTTACCACACTTGTGCTTTCTTTACTTGAAGCACTTTCTTCACGAAAGGTGCCTCACTCACTTGAGGTGCTTTACCTACTTGAGATGCTTTACTCACTTGAGATGCTTCACTTACTTGAGGTGCTTTACTTGAGGTGCTTTACTAACTTGAGGTGCTTCACTTTGCTTGAGGTGCTTTACTTATTTGAGGTGCTTTACTTAATTGAGATGATTTACTTACTTGAAAGGTGAATTTCTCACTTAAGGCTTGTTAGATTGTAAGAGGGTTGAAATTTCACAATATATGCTTTCATACAGGGTGATGAATCATTTTCCATTTTATAAGGTAGTTTCCATTTTATAAGTTAGTTTCAGGATATATATTACTTATAGTAAGTTCTTAGAGTGTCTCATTTAACCCTAAGGAGGACTTTTACTGACTGTAGGCCCTTAGAAAACCTTGAAAGACCACACTGCTGTGCTGTGTAGTCTTTCGAGTGAGTCTGGGTCATCTTGCAGATTTGTACCTCCTCATACAGATATGGCATATGCAACTGCAGGAATTATTAGTTTGAAGTACAAGTTTAAAAGATCTTGCTTGGGTAAAACTCTGCTCTTCTTTATAAGACTTAGTTTATTGGCAAAGTTCTTCTTTAGTCCCTTAATTTGAATGGACCAGCCTGCTTGTCATCAATATCCACACCTAGGAGTTGAATGTGTGTTACCCATTCTAAGTTATTTCTGGCAGAGTACATGGGTGGGAAGGGGCAGTGAACAATCCTCTGTAACTTAGCATGCATTCTAATTTCTTTGGGTGTGATATTAGCTTGTTACTCACACAGCAGGCATACAACTCTATTAGGGGTTGATTTAATGCAGCTGACATGTTGTCTATGATCTTCCTGATACAATACAAGGTAGTGTCATCTGCATACATGTAGACAGACCCAGATTGGACACAATCAGCTCAACAAGATTGCTGGTGTATAGGGTCAATAGCATGGGCCCCTGAGGACACTCCCTTGGGAGGTGCCTGAAGACACTGAGTAGAGGCTTAATCTTTGCCCATTTAAAACCATGTACTGTTGTTTCAATGTAAGGTAACTCGTCAATCTGTTTGACGGGGGGCTGTGTATACCAGATTGATGTTGAAGCCTGTTAGGCAGGATGTCGTGATTTACACAATCAAAAGCTTTCTTGAAGTGTCTTTTCAAGTTTCTTACTTGTCATGAACAAGGAGGAGTTCAGTGAGGTAGCCCTTGTGATATGCTCATTGATTTTCTCTAACAAGGCAATTAAAGCTCAGCACATGATCAACAATCAAATCTTGCTTGGTAAGCTGAGGATAAAGAGAGGGCAATAGTTTCCTCTGTCCATTTTGTCATCTTTTTTGTGTACTGTCAGTGGTTCTCCTGTTTTCTTTTCCAGGGGGAAGGTGTCTACTTTGAAACTTGAAGTAAACAGAGATGTATATTGTCAATGTGGATACAATAGTTTCTCCTAGCACCTCAATTGACCTTTAGGGATTTCATCTGGGGCACTTGCTTTGTTTGTTTTCAAGTTGGTGTGCATGTTGAGTTCTCCACTGCACCAGTTTTGATTTGTAGTGCCATTAACTGTTCTGTTAGATTTGTGCCAATGGAAGAAAAGAAGCCATTCATCACATCAGCCTTTTCCATTTTGCAAATGGTAAGGCTTCAGTTATCATGTTCAAGACCTGGATTGTTTTATAGCATTTTGACAAATTTGTTGTGTTTTTCGTGAGTCACTGGTAGGTGCTTAAAGTTTTGACTTTGTCAACTTTACTTCTGAGGTACTCCACTTTTGCTCTCCTTACATTAACTGTGGTCCTATTTAGGATGGATTTACATTCTCACCATAGTTGAGGGTGCTTAATGATGCCTGAGTTCAGCTAAGGATGGCTTGGGATTGTTAAGTACAGCTAAGGATGGCGGATTGTACTTCAAATTTATAAATTCAAAGAAATATGAAATTATACTCAGCAGAAATGTTGTTGTTGAATAGTACTAACAAATAATTGAACTTAAACTTTTAAAAGTATACATAAAGTACAGTCAAGTTTTGTTCTTTCCTGTTATTCCTGGGTACATTGGCAATATTGGCAACCTGTCAGTGGCCTGCTTGTTATCTGGGAAGAGAACCTATGTCTATATTTGAGCAAACCATTTATTTGATCATTTGGAGAAAATTTTATCTAGGTCACTCAGAATAATTACACTTAGTGGTTTAGAAAACCCCCTGCTCTGATTCGAAAAATGTTTGCATGCTTTTGACATTTATTCAATCACAACTGCTGATGGTTTACTGGTTCTAGGTAGTTAGGTAATGGGTCTAACTGCCTGACAGCTTCTGCCTCATCACATGAAGAAACGGTTTTGACAATTTGACAGCCTCTACCTCAATCGCATCCTGAAATATGGAAAAAAGAAAAAGCTATCTTTCTGGCCCTGGTTGTTAGAATCACTCCTGTTCACCTGATAGTCAAATGTCAGAGGAGAATTGGCGGACTCGCCGTGACCTTCTTTAAGTGTGAAGCCTATTTAATTGGAGCATGAGTTAAGCGAGAAAGAAGAATCTAAACCACTGCCCACCGTGAAGTGCACAATATTGAATCCGAAAGCGCCCGAATGGCCTCAACCCCCAGGTATTAGTTCTTTTTATGGGGTGTAGCCAATTATTTCTGATGTAATTCCCAACGCGAGTGGAAGTAACTTCATCGACAAGGTTAAATTGCAAGAACAGCAGAGCGCACTGCAGCTGCAACAGACCAGGATTATCGAAATGCTAGCTGCTAACCAAAGCAAGAGCAGACTTCCTCAGCCTCGTGTTTCCACGTTCGACGGGGTGCTGTGGAGTATCGCACATTTTTTCCGGGCCTTTGAGTTTTTGATCGAGTCTAAGACATTGAGCAGTACCGAAGGGCTCTGTTATTGAGAACAATATACTTGTGGGGACGTCAAGGGATTTGTGCGTTCACGTCATCATTTGCCACCCGATCTAGGGCAACTGGAGGCTTGTCGGTTGTTGAAAAAGGAGTTCGGAGATGAGTAACAATTCGTGTCCGCGTACAAGTCTAATAAAGCCTTAAATTGGCCGGCCATCAAAGTAAAGGATGGCGTAGCCCTTGGCCGATTTTCCGTCTTCCTCGCGAGCGGTAAGAATACAATGGAGGGCAGTCAATACTCGTCCAAGTTTGATCAACCGGACAATATTCAGAAGCTGATATTCAAGCTACCTCACAACATGAGGGAAAGATGGCGTCGTGTGGTCGACGATATCATGGAGCTTCAAAGGAGGCCTGTAAAGTTTGACGACGTTGCCACGTTTGTTGACCGAGAAACCAGGATAGCCAGTCTTCGGAAAGATTTTGGAGAGCTCGAAAATGGTTACGGACACCCGGTATGGCAAGGGAGCACAGACGACCGCGCCCAAGAGTTTCGTCGCTAATTTGGATGGTGACCTTGGTCCCAATCCAGAACCGAACATGTACATTAATGTCAACACCTCCTACGAAGAGCCTGCCGCCGCATCGATAAGCGGCTCGTGCCCTTCTGTAACTTAAAGTATGCACTCGAGGATTGTAAATCACAAAAGAGTTGCCCTTATCAGGAGCGTATTCAGTTTCTAGCGTCAAGAGGACCTTGTTTTTGATGTTTGTCCCATAAACATGTCGCAAAGGAATGCACCGAAAGGAAATCGTGCTAGATATACAGGGGCTCTCCAAAGTGAGATCCAGCAACATACCTCTCCATTTCCTTTCCGTAAACGATCATTTATATCCTGCAAAGGATATTGCTGTCCTGATTTCTGAACAGAAAACAATCATAATTGAAGTAGCAAACATATAATCATCACAGGTAACAATTTTGCATACAAATCTTCAACAGTACCAGCTGCTAAAACCACTTAAGATAAGAGAAATTTCAAACCATTAAGAGTTGTCAACGCTCTAAAATTACTTTAAATAACTTGGCCACCAGAATGAATCAAACTGACAGAAAGAAGGAGGCGCAGCACTGGCAGTGTGGGCTTTTGTATCCATGATAACCGTCACGAATATGGACCACGCTCTAGACAATCTAAGAGGAAAATTAGGTAAAATGTATAGCCACTGTAGTCTGTACATTAGGTGTGGTCAATTTAATTCCCGTAGTTTGGTTTAGTTCAGTTCAGTTAACGTTGCTATTGCTTGGCTTAATTAGGTGTAGCATAGTTTGTTTGCAACCCTTCGTGTAGTTTTTTTAAAAAGTGTTATTTGGCTCTCACGGCTAACGGTTAAAATTATGGCCATTTTACGGCTATCGGTTAATTTATTTCCGTTGCGATTAAAAGAAAAATGTTTACGGTTGCCTTTTTTTACGTCTAACAGTTGAAATTGGCCAATTGTTACGCCTGACAGCTATCTTTTTCTTTTTTTGCTGTTTTATGCAAACGCTCATCTAGAACCTCAAACATGTCGTAAGAATAGATTCATTGGCGGAAGAGAATTTAACACCCAGAGCCGAGACTCCTAAGGAGGAAAGTGAAGTGGTGGAAGTTATCAAAGGAAGTATCATTTAGAAATCAAATGAAACGTGCCAGGTAACGTTTTGAGCACCTTAAGCTGCCTCTAATTTGATGGACTGTAATAGTGACTGTCAAAGTTGGACGATTTGAAGAATTTGCCAAAACAATTGTCGAACGATTATCATACATTTTTAAAGAAGAGTGGCATAGAACCAGGAAAAAGTCTTGTTATCAAATAACTTTTAACGTTCTCGATGACCACCGAAATTGAGAAACACAAATATTCGCATATTTAATTGGGTAATATCCGCACAGTTTTTTAAATAATTTGTCCCGTAAAATAAGGCGATTTAACAATTTTTCCTTGAATACATTCATCGAAGGGAGTGTTATGGCACAATGAAAAAAAATAGGAATCGATGTTTAGGGACTGTTCATCGATTCTCAATGTTTTCAGAAAGACCTTACTAGGAGGCCCTCAGCAGTTCGTGGCTTTTCCAATGCCGGTCAACCAGACATCGAGACAATTCTTGTAAGCGATTTCTTCTTGACAACATTCATTTATTGACTAAAATATTGACAACCTATTTGTTCTACGAACACACGACTGCATATTTTAAATATATTACTTTAAAAAAATACTTGCAAACATCATTAATTGTTCCTCTCATTAAAATATAGAATTAATTAATAACACTCAATATTTTAACCATTATTGGTGAATAAAAAGTAAATAATTGTAACTTATTTCATTATTTTTTCACTACCAATAAACCAGTTGAAATAAAGTTCAATATTCGATATTTAAGAATTTTTTCTGTCTAACCACCTCTGTTTCATGGCCAGGATAAGTCGAAACCATACACTGAAAATCTCAGGTTTTCGATAAAATTTTGCATCTAATGCAAATCGTCCACTCTTTGAGAGTTTAGTCGTGAACTCATCACGATCAATTGAATTCATTGAATATTTTTTACGAAAGTCTACAAAAGCGTTTCGAAAGACTCTCTCTTCTGAAAGGTACAGTCATATAAAAAACCTCGGCATATAAATACTAATATAAATAATATACAATCTAGTGGGAAGTATAAATCATCATGAACAATATATGTACATATTCCAATCGAAAATGATAGCGACCGAGGGATTGCTACAAGAAATACATTTTACAAATCCTTTTAAGACCTTTCGTAAAACACAAATGAAGACATTTTCTTTGCGCCCTAAAGCGCGTATAAACTAATATCTTTTTCCTTCGTCATAGCTTTACATACAAGAAGGCCAACTGTTTCATATGTAAAAGTAATCGTTGACTAATTATTCTACACGACACCTAAAAAAGACATCCACCATCTTTTGACAGTGAGTTTAACCCTTTAACTCCCAAGATCTGATAGTTAATTCTCCCCTCTAGCTGTTATACCTTTCCCTGTAAATTGGTTACGAGAATTTGGTGTTAGCTCAAGATAACAATTTCTACCTGATAAGTTTGAGTATTCTCATTACCTATTTGATGGATAATGTATGAATAGTATAGGGAGAAGTAACATGTTAATCACTTCTGGAAAGGAAAGGTTAAAAATATTCGCAAGACAATTTTAAAAAGCGCGCGTATTTACAAGAAGTTGCTCGTAATAATTCCGCTAATACTCAGCTACCTTTGGCAACTTTTTACAGCACATGACGTCACAAATGGGAGAAGCTATGTCATCTGATTTCAAGTACAATTTAAAATACAGCTAACATATATATATACATAATAAAATTTTGACATCAAACTGTCTTAGAAGGAGCGAGGGTTTTAAAACTTTCTCTCCAGATCTGCACCCTTCAAAGAATGATCCAGGGCATCCTCGAAAACTTCTTCGTCTTCATCACTCTCCTCATCAGCTTCTCCAACAGTCGAGTCCTTAAACACAAGAAAGAGTGAAGAATTAACATTTCGTAACAGCGAGTGCTATTCTATGTTAACGAAAAGCTCAGACTTAAAACTTACATTGCTGCTTGATACAAGATTCTCCTGCACTGTATCAGGAGATAGGGCACTACAAGAAACCTCTGCAAGTTCGGCTGGCCTTGACATCAATTCTTTCACCATTGCATTCAGCTGGCAATTTTCCTGATAGGAATATATCAATGATAATAGGAAATATAATAGGATTTAAGGACTTTTCACAGCATTTTTTACTGGAACAGTCAGTAACAAAGCAAACCTAAGAGAGAACAGCAAGAAATGTACGGAGTAATGAGGATCAAAATAGAACAAAGAAAGCGCATAAAACACACAAAAACCGCTGACCAGCACCATGACTGAATGGTGTGTAACTTTCCACCTTATTGCTGGACGAAGACTAGAAGTATAGCAGCTGGAACGTCACGATCAACAATTGAATTGACTCTACAGTATTTATAATCAATTAAGTGACCATTAACTGAAACTCCATATATGATGACCACCACAACCGTTTGTGAGTATTTATTGCCCAAAACTCATCTCACCTCAAACAGACATCTGCTGCGCTCCTCGGCTTCTGTCCTTTTACGTTTTTCTCCGTCAAGTTCCTGTTGCAGTATTTTCACTTCATCTGTCATCCTCTGATCTAACAACCTGTCATTGTCAAGCCACAAACTCTCACGTTCCGCGTAAAGTTCACGTTGTGACTGTTCGACCACCTGGAAGGAATGTCGCAGTTGCTGAAATAAAACACGTTCTGTTGCATTGGGTCTACCAGCAAATAATAATCTACATTGATTATTCTAGTTTAAAAAAAACCTAACTGGGCAGTGCTATCAAATGCACCGCACAAGAAACACTAGCACTATATCATTATGTATCTACCATGCACTGGTAACTGTAATTCAACTGGCATTAAAATGTTTCTTTGCTTAAAACCAGTCCATTGTTCTAATCTTCTTTACATTAAAAGCCATCAAACAGCATGAAGAGCTGATCCCCTCTGCTACCTCTTGTCATATTTCTACATGTAGCTGCTATGTAGCCTATGTATACAATTCATTCATGCCTCTATCTCTGTTAATTATGTTCCACAAGTAGGTGTGTCGATCCTTAAGAAATAACCAGACAACGTCTATTTGCTTTTAGTACATAAAGATTTATTAAATCTGCAACTTAATGCAAATTGCACATCAAACAATTAAAATCCTGACATTTCAACAAATGGCTAGATAAATCAACACAATTACGTACTTCAGAAAGTTCTTGACGTTCCCTTATTATACTCTCCATTTGCTGCTGAAAACTGTTATTTCTCCGGTCCAATTCGTGAAGCACCTTAGGTTAAAATATAAACATCAGTCATTACATCTCTGCATACGACTTCAAAAATAGGGGGACTGTAAGAAGGCCAAAACTCCTTTCAAGAGCCACGCCCTAGATTTGTAATAACTACATCAAAATCTCAAATTACTGTCCTTACCTGAATATACTCCCCTCTAAGACTTTCATTTTGCTTATAGAAAAAAAAAAGAAAAAGTCATGTACTGGTAGGTGTAAATGACAGGCAAGCTCTAAATATTTGAGTGATAAATTAGTACAAGCCATGTAACAATACAACCCACTACTTTTATGAGAATTTACTTTTCAAAGTAACTTACCTGCAAAATTTTTCAAATGCCTAATAACATTTTCACATTCTGTCCCCTAACTGGGTAATTAACAATTTGACTCCGAAAAATAATTAACTTCTCCCCATAATATCCATAGATTATCCAGCAAATAGGTAATGGGAATACTCAAGCTTATCAGGTGGAATTTGATATCTTGATCTAACACCAAATTCTCATAACTAGTTCACATGAAACAAGTGGTAGCTGGAGAGGAGAATTAACAATCAGATCTTGGGAGCTAAAGGGTTAAGGATTTACAAGTGGGGGCACTGAGGAACAAATTGCATGACCAGTGATTTGAGGCAACACTTACAGCAGGGTGATGTTAAGAGGAAGTTTAGCCCAGTTTGCTGATGATGTGCCACCCCATTCATAACGTGAGAAACTTCCTAATAATTGCAAAATACTGTTTACTATAGTAATGACCAGAAAAAATTCTCCTGCAATGTTTGTATCTATCATCATCATTGAAAAGACATTCTACTTGTATCTAATTTGGAAAACTTACCGCTGAAAGTGTTTCAACATCCTGGTCTTTCTGTTCACACAACTAAAAAAAAAGCATATTGCACAAATGAGAAGCATAGACATCTACCTTAATTGTGGGTGTGTGTATTCACTCATCACTGGATAAACTTTAATTTCATGATGGCCAGAGATAATTAATAATAAAAAGGGGGTGATGTAACACTTACCTGCCTGAGTTGCTGAATCTCCTGATCTTTCAGTTCACACATCTAAAAAGTTTAAGATTCAGTTTGATATTAACCAAACAATATGGACCAATTCAAAAAATATCCTGTGAATGGCTATACTTTGGACACAACATCATAAGTTGATCAGCAATACTCCATTTTCATCAATAAATATAATCTGGCAGCAAGGGGGACAGAAATCACCACTACAGAGTACAAACCTCTTCAGTCATCCTTATCAGACGCTGATTTTCTTGTTGTAAATGATTGCTGCCATCCAAAAGTCTTTCATACTTTAAAAGCAAGAAGCAAGTAATAAAAATCAAAGATAAAAAAAAAAGATACAGGGTAACTACTGGCTTCAGGACTCCAAGCTCAGCACTCAGATTTTATCACAAAAGAAAACTGTGGAGCACAAAATAATAGTGTTGTATGAAGAGAGAATGTTTCTCATACACCATCAACTCTAAACCTAATCACTGAATATGTAAAATAGACAATAAAATAAGCAACCACTGTGTCACATTTAATCAAAATTATATTTTCCTGCCATGACTTCAGCTTGGCACTGCCCTAGCTTAGTTTCCCAACATGGAAAAAAGGATATATTTTTTTTTCAGGAAAACAAACTTTAATTTCAATATATCATAATTATAACTATTGCAGAAACAGCACCTAGCAAATTTACTATAAATAATACCTAAATTACCCGATTTTGTTTGTCTCAAAGGCAAAGCAATCAATAGAATTCTGTTCACCTCTTTACACATATATGCAATGCGCACCTATAAAAAATATCTTCTGATTACGACATTGACAAATTTGAAATGCTTGCATCACATTTTTTTTGTATGACCATGTTTGGTTAAAAAATTCAGTTGTCAAAAAGCATATGGTCTTACTCGCTTGTCTATCAGTTAATATATAACTACATATGTAATGAAAATTTTTTACAACAGCACTTTGTCAAACTGTACCTCATCAATGGTTTCCTGAAGCTGAGCACACTGCTGTCTACTATGCTAAAATTAAACAAAAAATATTGTTACTGGTGTTATAGGTCTAAAATGTTCAATCACAGTAGCTCTGGACCTTCAACCCTACATTTGTATAAACTCATCTTCCAATAAATTTATCTAAGTATACGAAAAGGGCCACACTTCATAATGTATACAGATAATTTTTATCAAACAAAAGGGAAACATTTGTGTAGTAAGAGCAGTCTACTTGAACAGTTAAAAACCATATAGCAAATGAAAATAAACAAACTGAAGAGGAAAGTTAAGAAGATGAAAAGAATTAATGACAAATTTCTGAAAGCTCAGAATCAAGATGGAATAGCTACAATATGCAGTTGAAAAGCCTTATCTTAAAGTATGTCTGACCTTAAGTGGCCAGAACAACCTCAGTTTGACCCAGTTTCTACAACATGAATTGACTAACAGTATATATAAAAAGGCATTCATTTTCCCCTTCATGCCGGGAATAACATAATATAAAAGTACAGAGTTCCCCTGAAGAACATATCACAATGAGCTGGCCTCAGGGCAATGAGAGGCACCTGGAACTCTTAACCCTGAGTCAAGTCTGGTGACTCATGCCACAATAGTTTACAGTTGTGTGCTTGGTTACCAAGCCTTTGAATGGGATTGAGGCTAAGGTTGACCTTATTATTATAAACCTTGCTTTCAAATGCAAATTACTTTGTACTTTGTAATCATGCTAACTAGATACTGATCTCTATCACAACAAGGTCACCTTCAGCCTCACTTGAAATCAAAGGCTTGGCAACTAAGTACACAACTGTAAAATGGCCCATTGAAGTCTCCATATTCTGGCAACCAAGGACAAGGGAACAGCAGAGCATGGGAAGTACTTTTGATTATTAATTATAAATGTTCATTGTTTATACAACTTTGACTTTTCACTATTAAAACTAAGTCATACATAACATATTTAACAACTTACTACCAGAACACCAAGCACTGGCTGCCAAACTGGTAACTAAGGCTACAAACTGATCAAGTTGCCAAAAATTTCTCATGAATTTCTATGACAAGCAAAACTATCTCAGCTTGAAGTACTCCAGTGGGGGTGTATTTTCCACAAAAAATATAAATGTTATTCTAAAACTTGAACACTATATGGCTGGTTTTAACAACTGTACCTGTAGGTCTTGCTTGTATGCCTCAAGTTTTGTACACTTCTTCCGTAGTTTCTGTGAAAAAAAATTACAATCAAGCTCAATATTAGATATTCACTTTACCAATATTCCCCTGAGATATATGAAATAATTCACAAATCATGGGATGATAGCAGGAAGTTGCAGCTATTTTGTTGGTTTTTGTTCTAAAGTCATGGAGTGAGACTGAAGTTGACCACATTATGATATAGACCAGTATCTTGTAGTAAGCATGATAACAAAGTAATTTACATTTGAAAAGTAGCAAGGTCTGTATCATAACAAGGTCACCCTTTGCCTCACTCCTGTTCAAAGGCTTAGCAACCAAGCACGCAACTGTGAAATGGACTATTGAGAAGGTAAGAAAAGGTTGCTTGGCTAAAACTGATCAGGACTGTTAGAAAACATTCAGTACCTAGAGCAATCACACATAAATATATTACCAACTTAACAGTGTTCTTCATATGTATGCGTAATAAAGTAAGAAATGATAATTTACCTGAATCAGGTGTGCAATGTCTTCAAACTGTAAAGGGTAAACCTGTGCGTCAAAGGAAACATGGTACATAAAACATTAGGTACTTGTAATTAAGAACTTTTGAGATACAGTCAAACTTGTATCAAACAGTCATCCACATGGAATGGTAGATCGTGCAGAAAAAAAAATTGATTGTGCAGGTAAATTAAAAGCACAAATAACAAAGCTGATGACTTTCAATGAATAGCATGATAAGAAGACTAGTCCACAGGATCCCTTGTTGTCTTAACAACCTCCCAACAAGCTGCTTTTGTAAAGTAGAGATTTCTCCACTATTAAATAACCTGAAAACAGTCTTAAAGGATTCTAGATATTTATATTTGCACTATACCAGTAATGCCAATCTGGCAAAATTGTGTGGTCCCACCCACATGCAACCTGTTAGAAGCTCTAGTTACAGAGTTCAGATCCTGACTTATCTACAGACGTCAAAAAATTTCTTAAGACATACATATAATAGTGAAGATACAAAGAAAAAAAAAGAAAGAAATGGAAAAAATAAAAGAAAGAAACAAAAGGAAAAGAAAAAAAATACTCAGTTGGCTACTTCACATCACAATACAAACCTGTTGAATATTCATGTACTGAGTTTCATCATCATTTTCTGATGGTTGATTACCAAATGCTTGACCTGGGGCATCTGCTTGACCAGCCACTGGGTTGTTTACATCTAAGTGATGATCTGTTAGTGTTAGTGGTGATGGAGAATTTGCTGCTTGAGGCACAACTAGTTGTGCCCCTACGGATGAGTCATGGGAAGACAAACTTGCATCTGTGTCACACTGTGAAGATGAACTACTGGTTTCCTCTTCATCTGTGTTGTATATGTCCCAAGCCATACCCTGGTGCGTTTGGCCTACAGGATCCTGCACAGCAGACCCTGTATGCACAGCTGATGACTGTTGAGAATCAAGTGGCATTCCCCAGGCTGGTTCATCACGATTCACACCTGTATTTGCTTCAACAGTCATTGGGTTATTTGAATGTAATTGGTAAAGTTGTGGGAAATTTACTGCTTGAGGAGAAAATGTTCTTGATTGTGTCCTTGAGTCATCTGAAGACAAACTCCCATTTGGGTCACTCTGCACTGATGAACTGTTACCTTCTGCTTCATCTTGGTCATATGTGTATTGGCCCACACGATCCTGCACTACAGACCTTGAAGGTACAGCTGGTAATCTAATAGCATTGGAAGCTACTGAAAATTGAGGGTCATAAGGCAAAACTAGCCTGTCATGATTTGCAACAATTGCTTCAGCAGCTATTATATTATTTGGATGTAATTGACCAAGCTGAGGGGAGTTTACTGCTTCAGGAGTAACTGGCCGTGATGGTGTGGTTGAGTCGCCTGAAGACAAACTAACTTCTGTGTCACTCTGTGATGATGAATTGCTGTCTTCTGTTTCATCTATGCCATATTTTCCAGATGGAGTGGCCTGCTGGAGTTGGTTTACAGAGTCCTGCATTGCAGCAACTGGTAAAATACTTCCATTGATGCCTAGTGACAATTGCAAGGTCTGTCCATCATGGTCCTCAGCATTTTCTTGATCAACCATATGGTTGCTTGGTTGTAATCCCTGATTTTCTTCAAGTGGTGACTGGGAATTTGCTAAATCAGGAGAAACCATTCCAGGTCTTGTACCTTTACCATCAGAGTTTAAACTAAGATCAAATTGGCTTGCAGTTGCTAAGCTACTCGCCTCAGGTAATGGTGGTGAAAACCCACCACATAACAGACTGCTGTTTTCCAAGATCTTCTGCCCATCTCGAAAGACAACATTGGCTTGAACAGTTTTTGGGTTATTTGGACGGAACTGATGCCCTGTAACCATACCTTGTGCAGCTACAACAAGTGGATGTAGATGTTCTTCTTCATCACTTTTTACTTCCTTGCTAGTGCTTTTCAAAACATCAGTACTTGGTTTACCTTCCAGAGGAGGTGAAAAACTCATTCCTGGGCAAACACCTGGGGCAGTGCTTGTCTTCCAAGTGACCATTACATCATCTCCTGGCTTGGATGGCAATTCTAACAGAACAGAAGGAAAACAGTAAGAACACTTTATATTGCCAAGTATTGTATACATTAAGTTCTGTCATATTTCCTATTCTGAATCTAACACAACAACACCTTTCCCCCAAAGCAACAAATAATTATCTTAAAATGTTAAACTCAGAAAGTAACAAATGTTACTCTGAGCCTTCAGGGAAGTACTTTTGCTGAAGGAGGAAAAAGTCCTTGCTTGAAAACCAAAGCAAAGCTATAGGAGCAAAAAAGTGCAAAACTTGTGAAATTTCTGATCAGAAATGAAAACAGTTTGCTATCACTAACAAGGGCTAATAGCTCACCCAACTACCAAAGATTGGCAAAGAATATGTTTTAACTTCCGTCAGTTTAACCATACCTGACTACTCAAAATGAGAATGACTGTAGAGGCTAGCTGGAGAAAAACAGGATTTAGAAGACTTTCCCCTTCCCCCAAAGTGCCTCCTTGCTTATTGCGAAAGCTAGGAGTTCAACAATATTATCATTGGCTGGGGGCCCAAAGTGTGAACCCAGTATTGACATAATTTTCTGAGAAGGTATGATGTGTTAAGAAGACAAAAACTTGAAAAAAAATTTAAACAAAATTCCTCCTCTACAAAAAATTAAAGCTTTAACTCCAATGAAAGACCAAGACAGAATTTCTCCTTACAATTATAATACAGTATCAAGCAGACAAATATAGAAAAATTTCAGTTAGAGGATTATAAGTTGATCCAATACCAAATTCTCCAGACTAACATCAAAAACTGTATGGCAGACAGTAAGGAGATTTACTAATGAGATCTTGGGAGTTAAAGAGCCAATATCATAATGGCAACTGATAGAATTTGAGTAATTTTGGTGCTAAAAATCATGAATGAACACATCATGATACTGGAACTTGAGAGATCTACTAAAAGAAAACCAGAAAGTATACAAGAAAATCGTATCACTTTTTATGAGACTGATCTTTTTTAACAGACTGGACTTCTTGGAAGGAATTGGTGTCCTCTCATTTTATTTAACCACTTTCCTAGCCTCAGGAAAGGAAAACTCAAACTAGCTACAATTTTCAAAGAATTCTGCATTTAAGAATGATTTGTAAATGGCTTGGGGTAAAAAAACCTTCATGGAACTTGATGGAAAAATCAAACCACACAGCCTTACTAATGGAAGCAGCAAACAAACGGTAGGTTCAAATGAGAATTTTTCATTTTACATATGGCAAATGAAGAATGTGCATCAGGCTTTACAAAAACTGTCAATTATCATGTATCGTTACTTTTAACTAAACAACTTCAGGATATAATCCCAGAAAACTCACCAGTTTCAGGAAGAGTTGAAATTGAATGCCCATCAGCAGGATTGATATTCTGTTGTCTCGATTCTTCTGATTTCTTCGGAAGACTCTCTTCAGCCTTGCTACTGACATCGTTTGGAGGACAATTATCCAAACTTTTTGCAACATGCAATGAATCTTGTGCCAAAAGATTTTCAAATACTTCCAAACATCCAAGGTTCTGAAATATGGACCTCCATTTGTCCAGTGAAAGTTCTTGGCCATCTCCTTCAAAAGTGGCAACAACCTCACGGACTCCCTTGCATTGTGTTGTATTTATTCCTAATTCTTCACCAAGAACGTCCATAGAATCTTTGCGACTCTCTAAAAGACGCATGAAGCTTTCTCGCAAGGAAGGAGGGCTTGTGCTGCCTGATTCTAAAACAGAAATAAAGTACATTCAGAACATTTTGACAACTCTGTACTGTAAATTACATCCAAACAAATAGATCGGGGAAGACAGAGATAAACAATTAAACGGAGAAAAGTTTTACTGAGAACAAACAGAAAGATTACACTTATTAAATAAATAAATGAACTAGAACGTTATATAGCAATACATTTAATATCATGAACAATCCATAATCAATTTCACACTCACCACCAGACATGGTACTTTATATTATAATTCCTCGTCTTAAAATCGTATTCGAGAAATATCTGGAAAATAGGTCCATAAATTATTATCAGCTTTTGTGAGATTTATTGTTTCAAGTACATCTGAAGTAAGGTAACTGACTTAACACAGACGCGAGAATCATTACAACGTATCACACCAAAGATTGGACTGCACTGAAAACATTCACACTTGATGAAAACAAGCTCACTCACTTAAGAATTCAACAATAGCGTTAATTGTATATACAATATTTTCATCTAAAAATTGGCCCCAAACTAACGAGTTTTAACGCAGCAAAGCTATTCCTATCAATTCTGAGCAGTGGTTGAATTAAATGCCTAAAAACTACGAAGAGGTTGACGTTTATTTAACGCGATTGATTTGAGTCGCACTGGGGATGCAGCTTGTACACGTCCAACTAAGCTAATACACTCCTGTAATCAACACATTCCTCGTCTAACAGCTTTCTTATATCACAGAGAAGGACTGAATGTATGGCTTTTTATTCGATATTAAGCTCAAGTCCCAACTGTGAAATCATCTTTATCTCTAAAATTCGAGTGAAGGCAAGTGACTCTAGAAGCCGTAAATTATCAAAGATGCGCACCAAAATATTGATCACTGTTGTCAAATATATTAGGAACGCTTTGCAAATAAGCATGACCGAAGTCTAGTATAGCTTAAAGAGAAAAATAGCCTTAAAATTGAAGACGATTACCTATTTTTACTGATCTTGAAAAAAATTCTGAAGCCCTACTAAAGTCAAACTTACAACCAGGGTATTCTAACTGCGACTTACTTCGCTCAAACGCACTCTCGATGCAATCCTACCAAGATCAAAACTCGAGTGATCTTCCTGACGTTGACTATGGAAGAAGGGAAACAAACAACGCTACCAACTGAGGTAGGTGCCTTAAGCACTCTCAATCCACACTTTCAAACATCAACTAGTGACAACTGTCGTCTCTGACGAAGTCGAAGCGTGAAATCCTCCGAAACGATATCTTCGGAATTCTTCCTCAGTTCGGACCGAGTAGGGGGGCCCAGAAGACTCGGGTCATCCGAAGGGCTATTCGGGTTTGGTGAAAATGGTCGTCAAGGGGACAAACCATTTGAGAGGGAGGTGGAGGTAGTGGTTTTCTGTCTGCATAATTTTTGTCCTTGTTTCCGCCGTTGCTGATGCTGTTTTTTTGTGGGCAAAGGCGTCGGCATGAATATTTTTTTTGGTGAACAAACATTTCCTACACTTTTTCACTATATGTCAGCCAACATACAAGAAGATTAAATTTGCATGCTTTACATGTCTATTTATGTAGTAACATATGATTTTAATTGATGAGACAAGTTCACAAACAGTATTTTAAATTGTTCCTGTCTAATCTGCAATCATACTTAACAGTATGCACAGATAAAATGATACATAGCATCACTTCCAATTCAACAGCTTTTCCACAAAGAACACAACATGGAAGAGAGTTTCATGCATATCAAAAAATAGAAATAAAACATAACAAAAAATCAGACAAACAACTTTAAGGTTCACATAACATGAAAAGAAAAAAATTACAGTTAACAGGGTTTTAATTTCATATTTTCACATGTCATGAAAATAAAAAATACCACATCACACCCAAAACCTCTTTCACTCCCTTGTGAAAGAGTTTTGTTGAACTGAGAATGTTAAAGATCTGAGTTAGTCACATATCTCATTTTCTATTTCTTCTGCTATGGAAGCTTGGCTCTTTGGCTCCCTGTTTTATCTTGGTTATCTCTCTATATGCACATATTTTTTTCCAGCAGTGTGGTGTGCATGAATTTGTTTTTCCAATTAACTTTGCTTGCATTAACTTTTTTGTTCTCCCTCCACCCTTCCCCTTTACCTCACATCATATTTCTAATGGGCAATCATTAGAGAGAAAGTTTCTCCAGAAACCATACATCATTCATCTCCACTAGTAAACCTTTTTTTTTCACTTGGATTTAAGCCTAGGTGCTTCACCCCTGGTCCATAAATCCAAGGATAAAAATTTGTTCAGTAACTTACATTATGGACCTCAAACTAAGCTATATGAGGTACCTATGTAATATTATTAGATTAAAAAGAGTACTCCAAATGATAAAACTCCCTGCAGATGTGCTAAACATCAGCAATGTCTCTATGCTTAGCTCCTCCTCACTGAAAAGATTGTTTGAGATGGTAAGCAGACTGATATACAGCCTGGCAGTATTAAAAATGGCAGTCTCAAGATAAATTTTTAGATACATTTGAAGTCAATTTTCAAAAGGTTGGGATACTCACTCAAATTTAAACTTTCAATGGCAAAATGATTTGCATAGCATATTTCTTCCATGCCAAAAAAATTGAAGAAGTCCCTGGATGATAATAACATGGTCAGTTTGAAAAATTATTACCAATAGCAACTATACGGCTTTCTCTGTGTCAATCAGTATAGAATAATAATCATATAATCCCATGATTTAAGCTCTTTCCATGATCTGAGCCTAAAGGTAATTCTTCACCATGGTCAAGTGACTTTTGTGGAAGGAGGTAGACTGGGAACTATCTGATAAATAACATCAGGATCACCTCAATATGCTGCTTAGAAACTTTAGGATCTCTTTCTCAGAAGTGTTAGCCTTGACTTTATCATCAAAAACTTAAAAAAGCTCATTGGAGTGGCTCCTTTCTCCTCCAACAGACAGACACAAGCTAGGTTATTACAGGTTCTTCAGAAATACTCAATTTTTTTTTCTTTTTCATCATAGAGTTCTTTATCCACATTGAGCACTTGCCTTCTTCTAAATAGTATTATTGAGCTTTTTAATATGACATTCCATGATAAAACATTAGGCCCTAATCATATTAATTTAGGACCTATAACATCTTTTTGGCATTATTATAGACATTCTCCTCAACATCAATGACATGTAAAAAAATTGTGATTTTCTGACTCAAGAAAAAGCGAAAAGAGAAGGAAATTAAAGATTGACTCTTTAATCTACAAGTTATATACAAGACTCAGGAATCTAGGGAGAATGTCCTAAGAAGGGTGGTGACTATTTCATGATCAGTAGTGATGTCACTATGGCAGAATTTAAAATGCCCATCTATAAATCCTGACTCAACCTTGAAACTCGCTAGTGGAGAATATACAAATATCTGTGCTAAAAGAAGAAAGTACAGTTAAGCAAGAAATGTATACAACAGAAAAACTAATTTCTCAGTAATTTGATATTGAGATGCACTGTGTTCAAGTTGGTCATCATTGTAAAATGTTTGAAATATTTCCTTTAATTTTTTCATGCATTCTTTTGGCCAGTTCAAACCCCTTGCTGAGACTTCCAGGGAAAACAAGGTCTGTACGCATTGCCAGTTCTTTTAGTTTATTGACAATGTTACCAGACTCCTTTGTTTCACAAAAATACATATTTGCATGTGGCTGGTAATGTGGTTCTGGTTCCTTGCGTCCATCATTTCCTTGAGAAATAATAACTTTCTTGTGAATGAATACTGCAGTATAACAATCGTCAATCTGTGCATGGGCACCAAACAGATCTTTTTCCTTGATGTAATAAATTAGAGCGACATCAGTTCTGTTTTTCAGACAAGTTTCTGACCAGTAGCATCCAGGTAGAGAGATTTTAGCGAATTTATCTATCAACTTACACTCTGTCTTTTCCACATTGTGACCAAGGTACATTGAACCTCCTGGCTTTAGTATGCGCAGTAATTCTCTCACGAGATTACACTGTATCTCCTTATCACCCAGCTGTCGTAATCCTCCATAGTTAATAACATGCGAAAATTGTGTTTTATCTCCGAGAAAGTTCAGTTTTCCATCAGAGCTAATGGTTCCAAAAGTGGCTGGAGTATCATTGAACAACCTTTTAGCATAATCCACGGCGTATTGATCTGCGTGGGCACCGCCGATGATGAGTTTCGGGTATTCCTTCCTCAGAAGAGTCAGCCATTCATTACATCCAGTATTGCTGTCAAACACAGAGGTACCATCCTTTAAATTTAGTTGTTTAGCCAATTCAGGAATCCAGCTCTTTTCTACAGTAGTTTCATTGGCATGTTTTCTTCTACAGTGGATATCTTCCCAATTGTGCTTGAAAACAGTTTTCTGAAACCAGTGATGAAAATGTTGTTTAGCTCTATCCATGATCCCTTTGCCACCAGAAGCTCGCAGGCTGAATTGTGCTAAGAGGAACATGAAAAGAACCAAAATGGTGGCAGACGCCATGAACACGATGCGGCCATAGCGAACATTGGTTATCCTCATGTTTGGGCCACAGCAACGAATAAACATCACCCAAAATGAGAAGCGATCTCAAATAACGTCATGGGTTGCTTACGGTATCGAAATCAAAGAATATATATGAGATTTCACTAAAAATTATCGATAATTTTTCACTCAGACACTCAGACACTCAGATACACGTTGAGCAAGAAAGCGAGGCTGCGCTAGTTACCAGGACCCATCGGTTTTATAAAATAAAATATTTTGTTCCTGCCTGGTAGTTTGCCTTTCGAGGAACGATGACGAAGGACAACACCTTCCAATTTTTGATAGGGAAAAACTTTCAAGATTTTACACGGAAGAAACTGAAGAAAGACGATTTATATGTGTCTCTGATCTCGACGAGAGTGTTAGTACCGCCTCTGCGACTCCTCTTGCGCGCGTGGCTCCTCGCTCGTGCGTGTCACGCCGTGCATCTCTCGCGCTGGCTGAAGATAGTCTCGCACTTCATTTCTTATTCATGGACTCTGGGTCGTAAAGAAGGGCTTCACATGTCAGTGTTTTGATAAAACTTAAGCCTGTCAACTGTACATCCCTGAGTGGTATTTTTTAAGGGGGTACTTCAAGCAGGGAGGGGGGTGTTATTTGATACCTTCACTAACAATCCACGATCTGGCAAAGAGTTTGGAGCAAGTTGCATCATCCATTACAAACTTAACCCTTTACGCCCTAAAATCCAAGAGGATATAAGCTCCTAATATTATCTTGCCAATATTAGCATGCATATTCTCCATACCGTTCCTCATACATTTGTTAAGGTGCTGACAAGGAGAATTTGTCTGACAGCGTCTTGGGTTCGCGATCATGCTCTTGATTCGATTCGAGGGCGATACTGTAGCGAGCAATAAGATGTTGATCACTCTTAGGGTTGAAAGGATTCAAGCGTTGAATGGATCAATATTAGTGTCTGGGCAACTGCCAACCTACCCATCCCCTAACCTAACAACAGTCTATTGATAACAAGTCATGGTTAATGTTGGGTTAGGGGAGGGGTAGGTGGGCAGTTGCCCAGATACTGATATTGATCCCGTTGAATACAACAGTCGACCAGGCACGTGATGGACAATGACAATTGAACTCAGTCTTTCATGCTCTAAGTGTATGTTGGCCCAGATTTTGAATTCAGTCACGGCCATTTTGCAAATACGTACAAACTTGCTACTTTAGTCATTAACAGTTTTTTTGTTTTTCTTTTCGTTTGTGGCCACTTTTCACACATAGTTTTCACTGTGCTATAACTTTGCTATATCACTGTTATGTAAATGGTCTCAAATAAGAAAGTGTTAGTTTTGAACAATAATTCTGCATAAAGCTATTTAGAAGCCGATATACCTCACTTCCGACAAACAAAGACCCTCTTGTTGACAGAGTTTTACTGATTGTCATAACTTGCGACCAAAATAACTGGAGTGTAATGAATCTCATTTACTAGATCGGAATCCTAAGTATTTTGTTGTCTCAAGTTTCTAAGTATTTCTTTCTGAGTACACCGTTTCGTCGAAGCGTTAACCGTCTGTTTAGTTTTATCAATGTATAGTTTGGACGCTCAATGTTTGCACAAGTTTTAAGCACCATTAAGTGTATTCTGAAGCCTTAAGTTAAATATGGCTAAAACGACGCGACAAATGCGTCAAAATGAGGAACATTACGTTGCCAAGATGAACTTCCGAAGTGAGAAGATTCTACAAAGTCAAATTGAGCGCTTGAACAGAGAGAAATTACTGCAAGTGAAGAGTTTAAACGCTCAAATGAGGACATACGAGAGAAAATTACAGAAGATTAACGAAAGAGCTGCCGAGGTGGAAAAACTTTCGCAGAACATAGATCCATCTCAGCGTCTTTCAACGAGAGACCACTTCAACAAACTGAGCAACGATGCCGTAAGGCAAAGACACTTTTCTACAGGTGTGGGTTATTCGTACATTGATCAGCTGTTAGGAGCATCAAAACCACTCGTCAATAGACCAATAAGATGGGGAATAAACCCATCTTTACCAAGTCTTGAACAACAAACTGCTAAACCGATTACTGTCGAGTCAGATGCTGTCTTAGCGAAAGCATTTATGACGGAGATTAAAGGTCATCCTATTTATCTTCGACCAAGGGAAGCTGCGTACATGAAAAAACAAAAGTCGGTTCCATCTGCTTTAATTCTGCCCCCCCTTCCATTAAAACCCTGCGGGAAAGAGACTATGGAACAACAGTCAATAGAACAACGCAGAAAACCGCGAGATTACGAATTACAGGAAAAAGCTGAAAACATTGCTTTGCTCGAAAATCAAGATGCAAATTCACAACTTTCTCCAATCCTTGAAAGCGAAGTTGAGGCAGATATTTCTGAAATGAAACGAAGTGATAGTAAATTAGCTCCGAACGAAAATGAACCAATCGATCACATTTCCAATACTGAAGGAATGACGAAAGCAAAAGGATCCCTTACAATGGAGAAACCTGAGATTGTTATAGAGAGCAACGAGGCTTTGTCTTTAAATAAGGAAATAGCGAGCGATGTTAGCAGTTCATCTTCATTGCGTGGACATTTTATCACGGAATACGAATTCCCATCCCATCAAAGAGTTGATCATTTTACCAGAAGCACTGAGACGTTGAATGTTCAAACAGGTGAAATTACAAAATCTCCCAACGAAAACGAACCAAGCTCTTTCAAGTACCAACTACACTCCCGCAGATTTTCATTATGAGCAACAACTTGTAACAAAGAAACACATTTTATGTGTAAGACTTCTAAAATTTTAATCGCTGTTTGAGAATCTATTAATTATTTTCTCCCATGACATTCAAATGTTAAGTTTATAGCGAATTGTAGTAAGATATTTTCTACCACATCGTGAAAAAGTTACAAAACCGTGATGAATCCTCCCGTGGTCTCGGAAATAAAATAAACAAAAGACTCGAAGCTTATATTGATAGCAATAGCTCAGTTATTTAATAATATAAAACGCCTCAAAGATTTTTAGTCATGCAGAGGCAAAGATAAGTTATGGCAGAGTACCTATACCTGTTCAGCAGGTTTTCGCGCGTGGACTGAGCGCGCGTAAATCGATTTCATTCCACGTAGTGCCTTATTTTTTTTCTTGATCGGGTAGATCGATACTGATAGATGCTCAGCGAGCAAGTATATGCTTATTTAATTTAAATAAAGACTCGCCACATGTAAGATTTCGCCGTGGTCTTCCTTGAACGCGACACGCGAGTATTGAAGGGTCGAACCAGGCGCGCTCGCGATCACGAGACTTATCTTGGGATCTTACGAATAAAACTTTGTTCTGGGAAAAACAGGAGTGCTTGAGCACCCGTCAAAATCTGTAAAATTATTCTGTCATGTTCAAGGCCCTCAGTAACATACACGTACCACGCGAGTTGTCATACAGGAGAGACACCTCACGAGCTGAACACACGCAAAAAGGGTGACAAGTTTCAGCGGATTCATTTCGCAAAATATGCCTCAATTATGAAATCCACGTGCGTATATTGAACCTGCCTTGACAATTATTATTTTCCCTTCGCATAGTAAACACCGCACTTAATTCCTCCACTGAAAAGCGATCGATTAAAAAAGCTGGCTATCCAGCCACCTCCTAGTAAACATGAAGAATTCATCGTCTCAGTTTAAGCGAGCTAAATCTTTAAAAGATAGCGAAATGAACGGAGTGAATGGAGAGTCCCCTCTGCACAATTTCGTCAAAGCGAAGCAGAAGATAAACGCTATATTTGGGGACATCAGAGAGTATCTTGAAGACTGTAACAAATTCTTAGCTGATTTCAGAATAGCTGATGAAAATGAACACGACATCAAGAAGTTCTCAAGCGAGGTAAGATTGTCGAATGTCGCGTTCAAGCTCCATGATATTGATGAGAATTGGTAAATTAAATATTGTTGATCATACAACCTTGTGGTTGTTTTTTAATGGTTTTTGATTTATTTTTCTATTACTTCAAAGCTGCCTTGATTGATACATCGATCATATACTTTCTTTAATTAACTTTGCTATGTTGTTTACAATTTGTAGATGTACAATCCAGGATTTTCATGGATTGTGCATTCAGATATATTGTACAATAACATTACATAATGTAGTTGTGTTCTTTACTTGTTTAACAATAATTCGGTTTGTTACGGACACTTTCTGTAGATTCATGCCAGTTTTTTTTTTGTTTTCCCTAATTGTTTCTCCCAGTTAACACAAGACATATTGTCAAGACACCAATTTTGCAATCTTGGTAATGGGCACTATGAACGAAGTTCTGTGTACAACCCATGCATTTATTCATGGTACATCTCACTTAATGTACACTCTAGATACCTGCACTGTCACTGTCAATTTTTTTATGTAATTAATTCTCATTAAGTCAGAACTGATTACAGCATTTCTCTCACACAGGTGTTAGGCTATCTGGCCCAGGTTTCAAGCATTTCAGAGGTTCTATTAAGGGATCAGATGAAGGTGGCATTCTTTGGACGAACCAGTAATGGAAAGAGCACTACAGTAAACGCCATGCTACAAGATAAGATCTTACCAATGGGTATTGGCCATACTACAAACTGTTTTCTCAGTGTACATGGTTCAGATTTACCGGATCCATATATCATGGTTCCAGAGAGTAATGACAAAAAGAGTGTGAAGGTATGTCTTCTTAAATATTGTTGTAAGTTTCTCCTTTGTAATAATTATATGTACAACATTTTTCTTGATAGAAAATTGTTGCAATTCTCCTTTTTAATAATTATATGTGCCAAGTTTTCTTGATTGAGCAACCAGTGCACTTATTTTAAAATCGGCCTGGTGAACATGGTGTTTATAAGCAACAGGATGGTGTTTTAATCATGTATGGGTGTGTCAACTTTTGATAATACCCATACTTCAAGAGCAAGAGGTAGTTGGTTAAGAAAGCATGATTTTTCTCTGTCAGACTGTCACTTAGTCTTAACAAGGATGTATATTTTTCTTACAAATATTTTATGCATAAGATATGATTTACTGTTTATGAATTGAGTTTGAGTTTAGATTAGCATTGTAGCTATTTGCAGGACATGAAGTTTTGTAAACCTTATATTTCTTTAAATAAATACATGTTTTCTGTTTGATTTTTATAACCTTAAAACAAATAAAAGCTTAAACCTCAATAAAAAAACTCCTTCTGTTTAATTCTAAACTAGCAGTATTTCTCTGGTGTTCATATGGTTTTTAACAGTTAATGGAGTTTTGACATTTAATTAAGAAAATATCACTGGTACCTATTTAGTTAATTATCTTAAAGCAGAAAAATACTTATGAAATATATTAAATAATACTCCAGGTGATATATGCACTATATAAGATAATGAATAGTTAATATTGATAACTACATATTTTTCTTTTTTGTCATGGAAACAGTCACTAGGTCAACTTGCCCATGCCTTGTGTGAAGAAAAGCTTGATGCTAGTAGTCTTGTTCAAGTCTTCTGGCCAAAGTCCAGGTTTGATTTTGTTTTGTAATTATTATATCATTCACATCTACTCACAGGTAACTGATGTCCTGTCAGTCTAAGTGCATTTATTGTTAAACCTTGCAAAATTTATTTATTTGTTGTAAAAGTAGAATGTTGTGTCCTTTGTTGTACATGAATTTTTCTTTTCCTGGTTTATTCCAAAAAGGTTAAGTTTGTCAAATTTTTTTGGTTACAGATTAATTCTGTTATTATGCATTACACTTGTTATAAACAAGCTGATTAGTCACGAGCATTCAATTAAATATCATGTCAAGAAGTTGACATGATAACCCAATATTTGTAACAAACATTGCATTTGTCATTTTGAGTTCAAAGTCTGCCTAGTTTCCAAGCCCTTTCCCAAACTTTTGTGAACCCAAAGAGATGTGTCATTTTTTCCAGTTTGTTTTAAAACTGTGGGATAAAACAATTATTACTGAATTCAGTTTTTACATGATATCTTGAATTATTAAGCCTAGTGTCTAAATTTGTAATATGCCACAGCCTTCAGTTTTGGCAGATAACTCAGAACTTCGTCTTGATTATTCAAGTTACTATGTTCAACTCCCTTCAGTAATTGTTTAATATACGTACAATAAAGTATAAAGCTGTGTCATTAGTTTTTCATTGACTGTCTTGTAAACAAAGGAAATATATTTCTAGTGTTGAAAGATCTTGGATAGGCTGTCTCTTGTGTCTTAAAAAGATGAAAAAAAAAAACTTTCCAAACACAGTACACATGTTCTAGATCATGCATTTCACATTAGATCAGAGGGTTTGTATCATTACAAGAAAGCTTTACCTGTACATTGTTATCACTTGTGACAGTCTCGTTCTTGTTTAAAATGTATTTTTTTTAACTTCAGATGTAAAATGTTGTCAGAGGATGTTGTTTTGGTGGACAGGTAAGCAAAATAAAAGTGATGAAATTTACAGTATAATTAACCTTTTGAGCAGTTAGAATCTAATTTCTCCTAACAATTTCAGCCCTGAATCACACATTAAGATCGCGAGAATAAAGGAAATGATCACCAACTAAAGAAACTCTGGACTGTTAGGCAAAATTGTCTTCATCCACACCTTAGGGAATATATAGAGAACAGTACAGAGAATATGCATACTTATGTTAAGGTGTGAAGGTTTCAGAGGAACAACAACACAAAAGAACAAGGAAACAGTGAAAAAAGTCGGTTAATGAGGCATTGCTCCACCATGACATGTCCTGTGTCTTCTACATCAAGAAGAAGCCCAAAAACTGCCATGTAAATAGTCACAAACAACTGTTGTTTTAGTCCTGGTATAGATGTGAGCCCTGATCTTGATCTGTGGATTGATAAGCACTGTTTGGATGCTGATGTGTTTGTCCTGGTTGCTAATGCTGAGTCAACACTTATGGTTACGGTATGTTGATTCGTAACCATTCATGTGCTATGTGTATTAAGATAAAACACATACCAACTTTCAATTTGATTGAATTTTTTTGAAATTTCAGTTGCTTTTAAATGTAATTTGTTACAGGAGAAATTTATCTAATGTGGTAGCTTTCATAGATTTAATCTTCCCATGTTTGTTTAGTGTCTCATTTGGTGCCCTTTTCATTTGCAGGAGAAAAACTTTTTTCACAAAGTGAATCAGCGTCTTTCAAGACCAAACATCTTCATTCTAAATAACAGATGGGATGCATCTGCATCTGAACCTGATACGATGGAGCTGGTGAGTAAGAACTTATTTGTTCTTGATAGCCATTCAAATTTGAAATCAAAAGATGTCAAAAATGGAACCGAAACATGGCATTGGAGTTGCCTTTCATTTCAGATGCCCTCTTTAATTGTGGTTTGGCAAGGCAATAAAAGAATGCACATGTACAATTGTTGCTGGAAAAAAAGGGACTGTATCTTCCCTGCTTGAAGAATCTTGCTATATATTCATAGTAGGGGAGTGGGGCTTATATAGAGGGGAAGGATTAAGGTACATGATAATGGGCGAGAATGCCAACCAGTTATCCCACCTCCTGGATAACAACCCTTCTTCCCCCCACTATCATATGATGGCAATAAGGTGTGCTTTTTAAAATTTTTTCCTGTTCCCTTAAGGTGAAAGATCAACATCTCAGCAGGAACATCAGTTTCCTTGTTGATGAGCTCCAGTGTGTAGACAAAGGACAGGCAGAAGACAGAGTGTTTTTTGTCTCAGCTAAAGAGGTAGGCTGCTTGATATTTGATATCAGGGTTTACAAGGACCAATTGCAAATAACTTTGAACAAGTCAGTAAGTTTTTGTTACTGCTATGCAAAGAGCAATTTGGTACAGGACACATCTCTTAATTAATTAATTTATTTATTTTCCCATGTTCTTTTCCTGTTTCTGATTTACCCAGACCTTAATGACCAGAATGCAGAAACACCAAGGAATGCCTCAAGGAGGTATGTGGCTGATTAAAATACACATTCTCTTGAAACAGTAAGAACACATTCTTAACAAATAAGTTTTTAATATTGAAGCAAGTAACCAACATTGCCATGTTGTTTTTCAGGTGGAGCCATTCATGTTGAAGGATTTCCTGCTCGACAGTTGGAGTTTGAGAACTTTGAACGCAAATTTGAGGTACTGTAGTTCCTTTTCAGGCTCACAACCCAGCAAACAGTTTTCAGATAGTCACTTGTTATTTGGTAGATCACATATGAACCAAAAGGTGGCAAAAATATTTTGATGGTTGCAACATGGAATTTGAAGACTTCATAATTCAAGGAATACAAAATTACTAGACTAAGTGGTAAATTCACATATAGCTCTGAAAAAAATTTTTAGCATGGAAAGGCTTATGACCCCATTACCTGGGAACAGCCACCTTAAACACCATTGGCAGCTGCTCAGGGAAAAGGTTATTGAAACCCCTGGCTCTTTTGTATCTTAGATCCTTGGTAAGAACTAATGAAAGATTGCTACCACAAATTCTTAATGTATATATACATTTTTCCATTTAAAATTAAACACATTTGCTTGTCTAGAGTTGGTGTCAATTTATTGTTGTCACTTTGCAATAGAAATTTTACAAGCTTTATTTTATAGGAGTGTATTTCTAAGTCAGCCATACAAACCAAGTTTGAATCTCACGCAGTCAGTGGATTGAAAATTGCAAACATGTTAAAGGTTCTTATGGAACAAGTAGTGGGTTCTGCATTTCAGCTAAGGTGAGAAACAGAGAGATGATTTTTTTCATTTTGCTTATTGATAGTGATTTTAGTTAATTGTCAGTTTTGCTGAGTTCATATGGTCTTTTTTGTCAAGATCCAAGCTGGAGAAAGCCAAGAAGGAGCAAGAGAATAGACTGGAATATGTGAAGGAACAGCTTGAAATCTATACACATGATGCCAAACGCCAGATCAAGGAAATCACTTCTAAAGTTGAGGGTCAGGTAATGAAATAACTCAAATGCTCTTTAGGAGGCATAAGGTTAAATTTGTGGTTTATTCAGTCTTGAATCACGGTCATTTCAAGTTTTTTACAATGTAAGGTTCCATTAATAATAGATTAAACAGTATGTAATCAAATGGATAACTTTATTTGATGTGCTCCTGAATGCTTGTCAGGTGTCTTTGATATGCATATTAAATTTACTTTGAAGTAAGTGGTAACATCTTATCAAGTGTTTGCATAAATTTTATCATCATAGTGCCTGAGTGCACACAGGTCTATATGCACCTAATTTGTAATAAGTATGATGATTTATAGAAGTAAGGATGAACACAAATTAGGACACATTCTTACAGAACTAATTTGTCAGACCTCTTCTCAGTTTCCACACCCAGAGTGGCTACATTTACTCCCTCCTGAAATGGGAAGCTAGTCCACAACAAGCCAATCCAACAAGCCAATCCACAACACTTCTTCATGTTTCATGACCACTTGTTTGTATCCATTTTTACTTTTAGTTCAAGAGAGAGACTGTCAGAATTAGGTGTCTTGCACAAGCCCACAGCTCGTTGACCTGCTGTGCTCCAACCCAGGCCTCTTGGTCAGGAGTTCAATGCCCTGACCAAGTAGCCACATGTGCTGCATATTGTTCCTTGTATCTTTGCTCATTACATCAAAGCTTGGTTAGAAGGTCTGATGTTGCTTACTAAACAAAGTGTTTTCCTTTCTTTAGGTGACTGAGGCTATGACAGAAGAGATTGGCCGACTGGGTTTGCTGGTGAATGAGTTTGATCATCCATTCCATTCTCATCCTGGGTTCCTTAAAACATACAAAAAGGTGAAAGTTACATGTGTAGACAGTTACACTGTCAAAATAATCTGAAATTTAACACTTTATCGCTGATTATCTCAATAGGAGTTGTACAATCACCTTGAGAGGGGCTTGGGAAGGAATATGACGGCTCGTTGTTCAAATTCGCAAACTCAAGTGATTTGTGAGGCGCAAAAGGAAATGGCAGGTCAGTGTTCAGGAACTACTCTATGTTACATGAATGATGTGGGAATGTGCATGTGTATGTAAGCCTAAAAATTCTTGAATGAGTATATAGTGAATTGCCGGAATTATCTGGAGAAGTCCGTTTAAAAAACAGCTTGCGTCAGTTTACAGAACTGGTCTGACTTAAAACCTTCCTCACCTTTCGCCTGTTTGGTCTTTCCGATTGTAAGTTATGCTCGCATTGTTTTGCACGAGGATTTTGATAGCTATTTGTCAAAACTGTCAATCAATGTAATCACACCGCACTAATCAGAGGAGCCATTCGTGGGTAAACATATTTCTCAGAAGCTGTGATTCGCTTGCGAGCCTTCCTGCCTCTTCCCACCCCGCCCCTATCCTGCGCCTTTTTTCACTATCGTCCCACCACATTTCGCGCGGTTAGGAAATTAAAAAGTTCTTCTTTGGTAATGGTAATGGTAACTTTATTTATACACGGTAAATCCTTCAGCAAATATTATAAAATGATACAAGATCAACTAATTATCCCTAACTAAACTAACTGACCTAAACTATATGCTAAAAGCTGCTTTACAAGGATGCCGTGTTAAAACTCATTCAAAACTGTGGTGACGTATGTTAAGTTTAAACTCATGTAAAGATGTTGCTGCACGAAGGTCACTAGATAGGCTGTTCCACAACCTGGCTCCGCTGTAAGAGAAACTCTCCTTCGAGTAATTGGTGCGGGGCTGCGGAACAGCCAATTTATTTTCAGTATTCCTTAATTGGCGATGTTCTGACGTTTCGAAACACAAATCTAGAACTCAGATACTCAGGGGTCATCTCATGTAAAGATTTGTACATCATAACAGCAGCTGATTCAAATCCTTGATATTTGAGTTTACGCCAACCCAGTGCCCGGAACAATTCATCGACAATTCATCCAGTGTTTCGTATTGGAACACTAGTTACGGAGGCTATGCATTAGGGTAGCAAAATAATTGAAGTAAAGCAAGAACTAAGGGCACATCATGTAGTCATATGGTTGAGGGGAAAAAAGGGGGGGGGAGCTAACAATAAAGAGGCATGAGTCCTTAATGAGGAACCAGTTATTATTTATGGCCGGGGGGAGGGAGGATTCAGGGGAGGATCACATTGTTTTCAGGGGGGAAGGGAAGGAGGATCAGTCGTCGCCGACAGAGTGAAAAGCGGGACTGGAGAGAATTGACTGCCAAATTACTGCCAACGAGAAACGAGGGGGGAGGAGGGGGGAAGGAATCGCCAGAATATTACAGGGCCTTAAGAGGGGATCTAGTAAATTTTATCGCGACATAACCGACATCCTCCGAAATAGCTATATTTCTTTTTACCCAGATCGCCTTCGTAGTCTTCTTCCGCCTGAAACACCAGAGGTATCTCTTGAGCCCGGCACTCCAGCGTGAGTATTGTCTTCCTTAAACCATTAAACCCTAACATCAGAATGCATATTCTCCATACTGTGCTCCACACATTTCTTAAGGTGCTGACAAGGAGAATTTGTGAAACAATCAAGAGCTTCTTTAGTTGGCGTTTATCTCCTTTATTCTCATGACCTTAATGTTTTATTCATGGGTGATATTGTAAGGAGAAATTAGATGCTGGTCAAGGAGTAAGATCTACTAACTCACTATAACGAGACATCAGGACCACTGGCTTTAGGAATCCAGGAGGCAGACAACCAGGAGGAGAAAGGAATAAACATCCGTTTTTCTTGTTACTAATTTCTTTATCGTGTTTATTTATTGTAGTCTTGATTTCCAAGCGAGCTACAAACTGGACGTGCCCAGTCTGTGCACTGATTTTCATGAAGATATCGAGTTTCACTTCTCTCTTGGCTGGCAAGCGATTTTGAGGAAGTTCTTGGCGCCTCATAATGCTGGACTAGCCATCGCTTTGGGAGCGAATGTAAGAACACTTGTTTAATAGTAGAGTAACAAAGAATGAAAAAAATTACGCTTGTCAAAGAGGAGTTAAGATCGAAGGAGCACATGAAGAGCATTAAAAATTTTGTAACAACAAACGGAAATCTTTTCATGTCATTCTATTTTAAACAAGGGAAATAGCTGAAAGCCATTTCTGAGTTGTTGTTTCGATCCACAATTAACTTCTCCGCTCCGTCACTATGGCCTTCCATTCTTGTAAGACATTTGAATGCTTGACAGCCGAAAAACACAACTTGGATAAACTACTCCGGGATGACTTAAACCCTCACTCTAGGAAAGAAAAAGGCGGTGGTTGAGTAGCTAATTACTGTAAATAAGTGATAACGTTCCCAACGAAATTAGGAAAACACATGCTGTTGTAGAAGGTTAGAAAAAAATGGAAAAGGAAGAGAAAGAAATTTTCTTTCACTTGGAATCGATCCTAAAACTTTTCGCTTGAGAGATGAAGTGCAATTTATTGCGCCACAGTTGTACTAAGGTCAGATGGATATCTCGCCCCTAGATAATTTCTTTTCGAACTGTAGTGGCTCATAGCAACTTTGATTTGGTTTAAGCTTCAGCGAAATGTGCAGAACTTGGTACCTACCGCACAACCGTGTTCCGCGGAGGCAAGAACTGGGACTAGTTCACAGGCACCTTCATTACGTGACGTTATGAAACGTCCCGAGGGTGATGACGTCACGTTGGCGGTCGTGCAAGGTTTAGCTTCACTAACGTCACGCACTGGTACGCTGGTGGTCATAGTTGGAGGACTGGTAAGGGTTAAAATATTTTATTGAGTCAGAGAACCTCAGACATAAAACACAGCGGTCAAACGTTGGGCATGCGCGAGGGGATCAATTATTGCCGGCCTTGCTTCAATTTCCGCATAAATTTCAAGGGAAAAAAGGGGAAAAAACTGCTGTCCTGCAAAGTAAGCAAACGAAAATTGAAACGTTCATATAAATCAGCTGAAGGAAAAAAAGCAGGGAAAAGGAAAAACGCGTGACTTTCCTAACACTAAGCTTTTTTAAGTTATGGTATCCTGTTGATCTACCGAACTATTACTGGCTTGTGTGGTTTATTGGTAACTCGTGTGAGACAACTTGTATTTGACAGCCTGAAAGCGCACCACCCAGTCATTACAACTTTCGCACATGCGTATACGTTTGACCGCGGTACAGACAAATTGCATCGCTCAAAAATGTAGTTTGAATTTCCGCGCAACATTGCAGCGTTATGTATGCCCACACGAAGCGTCCATTCCAATTGATGTTTCTTTAATCGCAGATTTGGAAGACGGTAGGATGGAAGTTCATAGCTTTGTGTGGTGGGTTATACAGTGGAGTGTATGTAATTGAGAGGGTACGTTGGACCAATGGTGCTAAAGAGAAGGCTTTCAAACGACAGTTTGTGGATTACGCTTCTGAAAAGCTTCAGTTAGTGGTCAGCTTCACTAGCGCCAACTGCAGTATACAAGTGCAACAGTAAGTTTGGCTGCCATGTGATTTTTGAAGCGTCTTTGATGTGATTGTTGGTAAGATTTTCTTTCACCCACAAAGGCGTGTGAATGGTTTTTGCTTCAATTTATACCTCGTGGTCTGGCCAATCGGATAAGGTGTCATTCTTTTGACCAATTAGGTCGCAAATCGTTAAGAGTCGCGAATTTTTCCGCGGTTTACACTCGGTGTCTTGTCAATCAGACCAGATGTCACGCTTTTGACCAATCAGGTTACAAATTGCTCGACAGACGCGAATTTTCCCGCGCTTTACGCTCGGTGCCAAACATTGATTTGCCCCTCAATTGATTCTGCCGCCTAACAGCCCCATTTTAAGCCAAAGGTTAAGCCATTTATCTCATTGATACCTTTCTGCTCAAGTGACTGTCGTGTTTGCCAAAATGCTATCATCGACTTGTTCAAACTCAAGCTCTCTAGCTCACAGTAGAAGGTAAATTCACTTGACTTGAAACTGAATGTTAAAACGGTGCCATATGATGAAAGGCTGGAAGTGTTAATTGGATGACACAAGCGTAGTAACTTAACGATTCCAGAATAGTCTATGGCTGTTTGATTTTGCACCCATTCGGTATGCTATTCAAAGCATGCAAAGCCTTAAGTGTCTTCAACTCTGTCATACTATCATTTCAATTCCAAGAAAACAATGCTATTTGGTGTTAAAAGTGTTAATTCAATGGCCTTTTCAGCCTGAAAACGGATTGATTCTGAAGAGGAACTTTTACACTTCAATTGTCTTTGGGTTTTACTGAATAACACGAGTAGAATAATTTCTCATACTTGTTTGCTATTTTGATCTTGTTATGAGGATTACTGCGAATTAATTCCTCTTGTTTGTAGTATGTGGTGTTATCAGCTTAAAGTCAAATGTTAGACGGATATTCCACAAGTTCATTCCGGTCTTAGCTATGTAATCTTGTTACAGTGCGTGTGTCGGCTCGTTCGCTTTTGATGTCGCGATATTTTAACGGTTTGGCGATAAGATACATGACAATGCCAAATCCCCGATTACTTCAGATAATGAAACATTTGATTTTAATTCATTTCAGAGAACTGACGTCAACCTTCGCGAAGCTAAAGTCTCTGGTTCAGAGAGCCAAGGAAAACTTGGAAGAAAACATCATCGAATTATATAAAGAAATAACAAGGCTTGAGAAAATCGAAAACGATGCGAAAATATTAAGGTAATTCTGTCCTACGTATTGGCAATTGATTAATGACAACAGCTATTGCAAAAACTGAGGTTTGGGGAGGGAAGGGTAGAAATGAACAGTGAAATGGGGGTGAGGTGAGGGAAAATGATTTTCCTTTGAACCAAATGTATCATAACCGCCCTCTTCACATTGGGTTGGCATTCTCCCTCGCCGAAGGGAACAAGGTGGCATGGATAAGTGATTACCCACGGCATCAGAGACTGGCATTCCTAAGAAAGGATTTTGCGAAGTGAGAATTACTCCTTGCTTCTTTATAGAACATCATCTCATCTTAGGAAATATCTTTTCTCAAGGGAAAGGGGATAGTAGTGATTGGGGATTACCCTCTACCCCCTTCTTAGACAACCTCCTCATCCTCAGAAATGGAGCATCGTTTGTAAACATTAGCATTTGGAGTTTGCAGCATCAGAAGTTCTAAGTGAGCTCGCTTTCTGTTCTTAGGAACAAAGCAAGTTGGTTCGAAAGCGAACTTTCCCAATTCATCACCGAGTTTGGTTTGGAAAAGAGCAAGATTTGAAATCTGATGAAGTAAGACGCTCTGGAATAAAGGAATATAGGCGTGAACGCTGCGTACCTGCCTGTCATGTTACTAAACTGAACGATCTTTACACGAGTCAAGTCATCCTTTTCTCCATAATGCTTCGCTGAAGATAATGTCCACTTTTAGGAGACTCGTTGTAAATTATAATTATTACGTTAATGACAATTTTGTGTTTGATGCGGAAAGAGCATGTCCATCTTGCTTCGTTTTCTCTTCAGTGATCCAACCAGAACACGAAAGCTTGTAAATAAGGTTCATCCGCTTGACTGGTTGAAATATTTGAACAAGCACTTCAAATTTCCAAAGAGATTATAATTCCCTTTGGTTGAAACGGGAAATGGAATTTCAGAGCGAGTTACCCAGTTCCATCCAAACACGACGATGCTAAACATAATATTGTAAATGGTCATGAATTCGAATTATATTATCTATAATTCGAAAGGTTTTTTTTTCTTTAAATAGCATATTTATCGAAAACGCTCCCGTTTTGATTGAGGTTGTAATGAGGATGGGCTAAAGCGATTAGTTTTTCTTTCAAGAGTTAACTCGTTCCTAAGGGTTTCCTCCTCTACACCCAAAGGCCCCAAGAACTCGTGATGGTGGCTAAAACGCTGAGACCTTGACGTTGAAGTAAGAGGTTGATAGTAGCCAATGAGAGGTCTCTATGACCGAAAGTCGGTCACCAGGGACACAAAACTAGGTAAAATGATTTATATGAAAGGGAATTTACATTGAAGGGCTCTTGCAGTGCTTTTCGTTTCGGTTTGATTGAGGAGTTTATTCCCTGTCAGTCAGTCTAATGGCATGATACCACACGCCACTCTTTGCGCCAGGAGCACTTACTACTTTTTCCGCGATAGAATTCTAGAGGAGAAGGAAAACTAACATACTGTTTTATTGAGTTTATATAATGAACATAGAACGTTGAGAAAGCTCAATTTTTTGTTGTAGTAATATTAAAGGTTGGTTGTGGTTCACAGCTGATGCAATTTTCCTAGTCTTGTGGAGTATTTGATAATCTTTGTTGGGTCACGAAATGTTGCATGATTCTTTTACCTCGATTAATGTTATCTGGTTTACAAATGCAATGGTCTGAATTTGTCCGTTCTCTGACTGTGAGGTTTATTTTTACTAGCCGAGAATGTCTGACAGGGCTTATACTAATGAATAGTTAATAAACAAGAAGAAATTTAGTTTACTGTGTGGGGTGTATCACCTGTTACAAAATCTGAAGTGACTTTGAGGTCTAGCTGATGAAAGTCATTTTATCGAGTAATTCTCTTTTTGACCATTACTTATTTTTACTCGAATTTTAGCCTGAGGTGCAGGCGTCTTATTAAAGTGAGTTGATGTCACACGTTTACCATCACAAATGTCTGCTTAATCCTTTTCCTCCTAAATGTGACTAGCATCCAATTTCTCCTCACAATATCTCCTCAAAATCACTCATTTAAGTCACAAGAAAAAAGAGGAATGGTCAATAACTAAAGGAGCTCTTGATTGTTTCACAAATTCTCCCTGTCAGCACCTTAAGAAGCATATCGAGAACAGTATGGAGAATATGCAGACTGATGTTGGGTGTAAAGGATTAGGAGTTAAAGTGGATAGGTAGGGAGGGGGCGGGGAAAATTCTCACCAGGGAAGCGTAACATGATCTATAGGCTTGTCAATGTAAAGTGAGAGGACTCAATTAGCAAGTGAAAGAGAGGTGATTGGCTTAGAACGTGTAATTAATTAAAGTTGACAATTAAAATATAAACAGGCGCGAGGATCCGCGCGGCTTGCGCATTAGCGAGTGCTAAGTAAATTTAGGTCTTTGGGTCAAAATTTTCTCTTGGGAAATAACTACGCAATCCTAGCATGGATGGTAATTTTAACAATCTCAAAATGATTCAGTGACTGGAACGGCTTAGGTAAGCCCAAACGTGTCACGTCATTTGAGGATAGCCTGTTAATACTGCGTGACGTGACTATCAAGTTACCGTTGTTGTACCCTGCATGTTCTGTCTGTGATCTACAGATTTATTAGTTTGTGACACAGAGAACGATCATCTGTTCGGCCACGACAATGCCGAAGTTAAATTGTGCCAGCTGACTAATGTTTTACTGTGATCAGACCTTTGACTCTGAGTCAGCAAGTGGGCCGGTGAACCCCTCGGCAAGAACCTTGTTTTCGAGAGAGATTTCAGTTCGACTGCATTATGTTCTGGAGATACAGGAGTATCATTTAACGCTTGAAACGATTGGGTAGATTTTTTGATAATAAATTTCCAGCGTCTATACTAAGGAGCTCTTTAAGTACGAAATATAATTGTCAGTAAGTAAGTCTCAAACATCAGGTAAGCGCGGGAACTAAATCCCGCGAAATTTCTATTCGAGGGTAGAGTGTATTCGGCGGCATCTGCCAAAAGGGGTTATCGTTCTTTCTTGAAGGTAAGGTCTTAACTGTGTATTATTTCGCGAGAAATAAATTAACTTAATTCACTTGTCTTGGTTGTACACATTCTTTCCTTTGCAAATTTAATTTTACCCTAACCATGAAAAACCGTGATGAAAAAGCCATGTTTCTTTTAATTAAAAATTGTTTCTCCCGTTTCGATGGCCAACCAACTCAAATCAACACCATATAGTAAGTGCTCGTTCAGTTGACTGACTTTCTAGTGATTTTTCCGTCGCCGGTCATTGTTTTTGACTTGATGGTGTTTGACCTCAAATCTCGTGGAGGCTTCATTTAGAGTTAAATCTTAAATTTAAGAATTAATTTGCCAACGAGTAAAATAAATCTTCTCGTAAGGTATTCCAGTGCATTTACATTTCCAACTATACCCTCAACTGTGATAACTTCCCTTGCTTAAAAACCAACTTGAGATACAAGAAGTAATATTGGTCACGAAATGTATAAAAGATCTGTGAGTAAATAATTTTTTTGACGTGTCCTTGTTTATTTTCTCACAGCCTACCACGCGTAGTTAGCAGTGTTCTCAGCGGCGCGCCGGGAAACCCCGGCAGGAAAAAAACGTCTTCGATTTCACTCCTTTAACGATCACTTTGAAGAAAATTACTTCCTTAGCAATTAGCCAATTATGTGCTGCCACCGAAGGGTGAGAAAAACTCTGTTACATATTTCTTTACAGGCCAGAATTTAAAGTTGAACATGTATACCCATGTCATCTAAATTGTACTGTTATATAAATGCTAAAGCTATTAAATAAACCGACGTTTAAGTTTAAATGTCGTGAAAGAATGCATCAAAGTATAAGAAATATAAAATATCGTGCCAGTCGATATTTTTAACATTGTTATCTTGTAACAAGCTGATGTGTTCTTGCAAGAGTGAGGCTCATGTAGCAAATTATTGCAACTACAAATTAAGAGGCTGTCTCTCTTATTTCCACCAGGTCAATTTTGCGTCAAAAATAATTTTGCTACCTAGGAAAGAACTAAATTAGATTTGGTTTGATTCGAAATAATTTTCTGACTGCATTACGGGCCATAATTATTTCCCAGTCCGTAGGGACCGTCGCAACGTCTCAAAAATTGAAAAATAGGCATATTTTGTAACGTTGTAAAATATTTGATTCGCATAGTTAAGCCACAGAATTTGTATTAGATTGCTTAAAAACCTTTCTAGTTTGCCAAGAAAGTTAGAATTTTCCCTCTCGACATATTTGAAAAGGCGAATTTTAGCATATTCTGACCACTAGAAATCGCCATCGGCCGATGGCCGTAAATAACCTTGATTTAGACGCTAAGTTTTGGGATTTGGGACCTGGTTGACGACTCTATCCTACACAGCCGTTAAGTTTAGACCTTCATAGGCAAAAATATGCAAAAACCCCTGTACGTTTTCGATTTTTCAAAAGTTATGACCATTTGAATCAGCACATGTACGAGCATTCGCGATTTTTTCGCCTACACCAAAATCGAACCACTGGAGCAGATTTCGTCATAAATACAGCTTACCCGCTTTGCAGCCCGGCTTCATGGCTCACTTCAGAATTTTTCTAATAACCAGATTGGTTAAATCCATGATAACTTCAACAAATAGCTAGGTATTGCCTTCGAAAAGTAGGCGGCATCCATCGTGATTCGTGGTATCAAAACAAATGCCGGAATCGGCCACATTTCGCGGTGAATCACCCATTTAACATCGCTGCAGAGCTGAAATTTTTCCAAAATCAGAATATAAACTCTCCATGTCTGGAAGCTGAGGGAGAAATGAAGGTTTTAGGCTTCTGAGGTGAAGAAATAATCGCTCAAATTTAGATCCAGTTCGATGTTATACTGTTCTCACAAAGGTCCGCACAAAAGAGAAGACCGCTGATAGCATGTGCCGTAGGTTGTGCGAAAAAGAAAAATTTTGGATGAAAAGAATAAATGCTTTTACCTGGAGTTTGATATCATATAATTAATAAATCAATTTCAAATATCCTGAGCTTGCTTCTCTCGGTTCCGCGTCGATTGTGTCCACAGAACAGCAACCTGTCAATAGCCGGAGAAATCATGGGTTTATGTGAAAAAAATTTCAGATATTCCTCGCTTCCCAAACTGGTGAACTGGACTTTATGATAACTCCAGCAAATACCTCCAAAATTCAGCGGTCGGCATCTGTCGATACTCTTCTTTGACTCGTTGTTGCGAACTAAACTCGAAAACTAAAGCCATGTTTCGCGCTTAATGTCCCGTTGAAACTTTGGATTGCAGCTGCATTCTCTTCAAGAATCAGTCATAGAACTCCACTTGTAGGTCTACGTGTCGAAGTTTGGCGTTTTGGGATTTAAAGCTGTACGATTGCACTGTCGCGCATAACAGAGGTCCGCATTAATCATTGCGGGTGAACCCGCTGACCCTTTATTTTTTTTGGAAGGCCTGCAAGTGTAGTATGGCATGCAAGTGCTTTTTCGAAACCAGAGAGGCTTCAGTCTGTAGCGAGTCCTCAGCGAGGTTGTTAAAGCTTTCATTGGACAGAGGATACGCATTGACGAAACACCCAGTGAAGGGTTTTCTCTGTACAAATAAGATTGAGCATTTTAGTAGCTTCCACAACTTCGAATATGGAGATATCGGTCTGAGAGTTTGGAAATGTTATGGCATCGGTAAAGGGAAGTACATTCCATATGGCGTAATTTAAATCAAGCACCAAGGTCAAACGTCCCTTCAAACCATAGAATCTCAAGGGTTTTATGATCCTCCTAAAAAGCGTGTGGTCAAGCGTCGTTCAAAGGGCAGCAAGGAAACAGAGAGTACAACGCCATTGTTTGAATGCTCTGTGTTTGGATGTGTTGAAGTGTTCGAAACCTTTTCGCAGCTGGAGCTGCACCTGGACGTTGGAAAGCATACAGTCAGCAGGTTAAAGCCAGTATGATGCAATCAAAAGGGACTGGGCCCTTAAGTTCTCGTCGATAGATACCGCTGGTATCGAGTGTTCGAGCTGTTCGTTAGATTCTAGTACACCACTCACTTCTCCCGTGGATACTTCGCACCACTCGTCTTTACGAACAGGATGGGCCGTAAGCAAACCAAGGGGCAGCGTTAGATTTTCAGAGAAGGTAAAAGAATACCTAACGGCACGGTTTACACTTGGAGAAAGAACTGGGCGAAAGGCCGACCCCGCCCAAGTTGCAGTGGACATGCGAAATGCGAAAAATGAATCAAATGCACGTTTGTTCACTAGAGAACAGTGGCTGACAAAGAGCCAAGTTCAGAGCTTTTTCTCCCGGCTAGCAGCAATGCGGCGAAAAGATCAGGGTGTGATCGGGATATCACTGGATGAGGAGGAAGATATCCAATGCGTCCAGGAAAATTCCGAGAGATAAGATCTGGTAGACAAAGTTAACAAAGAGATCAAAGTCTCACATCCAATCTGCTACGATACGTAGGACCTCTGTGAACGTTACCACAATAACACACTTCAGAAATTCAATGTGGTTTTGTTGAGAGCCATCTGTAGTCATTTTGAGATCCCTGTAAAATTGAGAGACAAAAAAACAGATCCTCATAGACAAACTGTCGGACGTGATTAGTGATTGTCAGTGTGTATCTCAGTAGACTTATGTAAACAATGTCTTATACGGTGGCTGAAAGTGTAGAATATGCTCTGCAGATACAAACTACCTTTACTTCCGATATCAAGTTCTGACGGCGTTGTTATAGTGTAATATATTATAATATCTAGTAGTCAGTGAAATGTTTTGATGAAATCGATTGAAAATTTACCAAAAGCAACACTTATAACATCTGTTCATACGAAGCATGTGTCAAGTTTTTAACACGTTGGTAGCCGATTTCTCCGGCTATTGACAGGTTGCTGTTCTGTGGACAAAAATTGATTTATTAATTATATGATATCAAACTCCAGGTAAAAGTATTTATTCTTTTCATCCAAAATTTTTCTGCCCAAATATTACATTGGGATACAAAACAAAACCATATGGCACAACCTACGGCACAAGCTATCAGCGGTCTTCTCTTTTGTGCGGACCTTTGTGAGAACAGTATAACATCGAACTGGATCTAAATTTGAGCGATTATTTCTTCACTTCAGAAGCCTAAAACCTTCATTTCTCCCTCAGCTTCCAGACATGGAGAGTTTATATTCTGATTTTGGAAAAAATTAATATGTGATAAGAAAAAAAAAGAGGCTCATGAGGTACTACAGAATATCACTGATGTTATTATATTTTGACATGTTCTGTGATCTTTTACTGAACAGAGCTGTAGCAATATGGAAACACTATGTTTTATAGGATGGAAAAGCAAGATGTTGTTAATCCTTTAACTCTCATGAGTGACCACAGCAGAATTTCTCCTTACAATATCAATACAATATCAAACAGACAAGTGATAAAAATAAAGAAAAATATTAATTAGGGGATTATTAGTTGATGCAATACCAAATTCTTGAAACTAACATCACAAGAACTATACGGCAGACAGTAAGGAGAATTACTGGTGAGATCTCGGGAGATAAAGGGTTAATGATGACATCATCTATGCATCTTTCCTCCAATAGATTATATAAACTAAAATCTCCTCTATTATTCACCTCCAAAGTAGGAAAATCTTTTTTATTTCGGTTCATATACCACACAAATAGTCTTGATCAGTCAAGAATCACTGATCAGTTGCTCTTAATGTCTGGGAAGATTGCCCTTTGATTCACAAGCACAACACTTGAGATTAGAATTTAACTTCTCCATATAATATCCATACATAATCCAGCAAACAGGTTATGAGGATACTCAAACTTATTACTAGACAGAAGTTGAAACTCTAGATCTCACACTGAATTCTTGAAAATAATTTACAGGGAAATGAGTAAAAGCTAGAAAATAACAATTTAATCATGGTAATTTCAGGGTTAAGTATTTTCTTACTCTGAGGTTTCTTTGTACATGTATCAGCATTGAATTAATTTTGTTCTATGATTTTAGATATATGAAATTCATATATTTGCACTGTGGTGCAGAAATGAAATTAAGAGATCCTCACAGCTAAGAACACCAATGAAATGAGTAGTTGAAAATAGGACCTGAAAAAATTCAGGCCCATGGGGATTTGAACCCATGACCTCTGCAATACTGGTGCATTGCTCTACCAACTGAGCTAACTACTCATTTCAATAGTGTTCTTAGCTGCAAGGATCTCTCAATTTCATTTCTTCACCGCAGTGCAAATATATGAATTTCATTTATCTAAAATCATTGTCCATCACTTGGATGGTTTGTTTGGACCCAACACATTGACCAGCTCCCAGTTGGCTTGTTAGCTCAGTTGGTAGAGCACTGCACCGTTATTGCAGAGGTCATGGGTTCAAATCCCGTACGGGCCTGAATTTCTTTCTGGTCCTATTTTCAACTACTCGTTTCAGTAGTGTTCTTAGCTGCGAGGATCTCTTAATTTCATAATTTTGTTCTGTTACCTTCTCACTTGAGCGATGGTTTCTCTGTTTTTATATCGACTAAACTTCTGTGTGTAGTTCAGGGTTTTCATAAAAACTTCCGATAGTTCTTACTCTTCCTCGGCTCCTTCGTTCTGCGTCTTTCTGTGTTCCAACAACATGTACACTTCGGAGTTTAACAATGTTTCCGCACTTTCAAATTCTAGAAAGCGAATTAAATATAGTGATACATTTAAATTAATATTTTATGCTTCAGTTTATCGCTCTTATCTATAATGTGAGTGGGGCCGCTACTCTACTGAGTTTTACAGAAATCAAAGAGATCTCGTGCGTACAAAGGCGATTCTACCGAGTGAAATGTATGAAGAAGAGGATACATTTTTCTTTTCTGGGGGACATCAGGACGAAATACTTTTTGTGTTACTCAATCAATGCGTCAAATAATCATATCTCTGCAAATTCATGAAAAACAGAATAGCTCAAACGTTTTGGAAACTGTAGTTCTGTCGCGTCTTCCACTGTTGGTTGAGCAGATGTCCCCCCTGTCGCCATGTTGGATGAACTTAGCTTAGTAACCGCTGATAGAAAATTAGTAGTTTCCAGGCCACGACGGGCTTGGATAGTTGCCGCTCGCAAATTTTCGTTATATCAGAGATAGATAATGACAAATGACTGATAAGAATACATTGATTAAACTGTCCATCTGATCATTCTAAATTCCTGTCAGATCTGGAGGGACAGCTGAAACAAATATGGCCTGTATGGCGACCATGCAAACAAAGCAGAATATGTACGGCCGGGAGTATCGCATGCCGCCTTATTCGTTGGTTTTGCAGCTCTGCATACTGTGCCAATAATTCTTGAGCGCACAACGCAAAACGCAAAAGGAGAACCGATTAAGTTTAATCCTTTGCCCCGTTACCTTGTAACTTAAGCTGTTTACAGAAGAATTATTTAGGCTTCGGGTATAGGCTGGCATTCTGGTCAGATGTACATGCACAACGCTACATTGGAGCCGTGGATGTAGAAATAACGTAAGTAATGATAAATCTGACATCCCTGTTTTAACGAGTGGTGTCTTTGTGGAGCCTCTCACTTATCAAACCATTCAAAATTACTACACGAAAGACTAAGTAAGTGCTTTATGCTAAGAAGTCAGCAAAGTTACTCTCAATTATTTTACTTTATTATGACGGAAATCTTGGGTTATTTTATTTTGCGAAACGAAACGAAACTAGGTGAGATATAACGAAACCGGCTAAAGGAATAATGAAGATATATTTTCTAATAAGATAAAGATAACTTTCAAAAAGATTTTGGAGTAATCGTCAATTGATAAGAAGGATATTTATTCATTTCGCAAAATAGTAATTTCAGAAGAGTTACTATTTTGCGAAATCGACTATTTTCAGCTTGCGGTGACAACGTGACCTCTTCCATGTCACAAAAATTGCATTTAAACATTACAAATTAGTATATCACCAAATATTTTGGCCTCCTCTTAATTTCTGAGACCGTTTTAAAATGTGTTTTGCAATATAGGAATTTATCTTTACGTCATGATCCCAATCATGCTCAGGATGTGCAAATTGAGTTCACGTAACCCAGCATGTGACTGCCGAGATGCCAAAATAGCCTTTAAGAGCTGTTAAAAGCATATCGCTATGTCCTCCGTGGCATAAATTTATGAAATAGCCCTTTTTATGATCCATCAAATATTTTTTTGGGCAGGTGATTGGTCTAAACTAATCACATCACCGTATATTCCCCAGCTAAAACTAGGGGATATCCAAGGATATCACCCAAGTGAACCTCCACAATTTTCAAAACTTATGTCCATTATGATTATTCTTCTTTTGCAACTTGATAGCAGATAATAGAGCGTTTTATAGTTGTCACAGAAGAAGGGAAATATTCATTTGTTTATGCGGTCATACCAGAAAACACTCAAAAGAAAACATCCCATGCAGCAAAGAATAAGCTGTTTGCAAACATTTTTCTATGCACATTGCAAAGCATTTAAAGGATAAGAAACACAATAGCTTCTATTTGCATGAAAATTTGCTTGTGTATTTGTCCTTGGACATTATCTGTTCCCTGAAGCTCACAGTTTTCTCAGAGCTTCACTCATAGAAAACTGTTTGCATCTTGGATCAGATATTGTCTGCTGATAAGTATCAGCACATATTTTTGAGCCAAATAGAAGCTATATGCTGTTATTTTCTTAGGAAAGGTTGTACAATCCTGACAGTTCCAGCCAAAATTTCCGTTGAATTTAGCCTAAAGCAATGAGATAACTACCATTTTCATTCAATTTCTGATACGACATGAAAACAAGGCTAAGTCAGGTAACCACTGTTTAAGGTAATTTCTTACAGTTTTAGGAAGACAAACTTCTGATTACATCATTAGTTCTTAATGACAGAAGTCCAGCCATGCCCAACATCTGCAAACTTACATCAGGTGACCAAGTGTATGACTTTCGAGGTTCCTGCTATTAACCCTTAAACTCCCAAGATCTGATTGTTAACTCCCCCATCCAGTTGTTGCACATTTCCTTGTGATTTAGTGACAAGAATTTGGTGTTATATCACAATAACAACCTCTAACTGATAAGTTTGAGTATTCTCATTACCTGTTTGTTGGATAGTGTATGGATATTGTAAGGAGAAGTTAGATGTAAATCACTCAGAAATACATATTGGGACTAAATAAACCGCATATTATAGCTTATTTCATTGATCATGAGGTTGCTTAATCATTTGTCAGCTGTAAAGTTCTTTTGAAATGAAGCTTTTTATGACAACTTCTATTGCTGAGAAGTGTTCCTCTGTCAATAAATGACCAGACTGCAAGAAAGGTGGTGATAACCTCTTGTGACTACCATTCATTCATTCGCACTAGATTTTTGTGGTTAAAATAGCTCAAATTCTCTTTGACCTAAACAAGGTGCTTATGTTGGGCTACAAGAAAAAAATTGAGGTACTGAACTACAAGGATGAAGCTTTAACCCTTAATCTCCCAGGACCTGATGGCTAATTCTCCCCTCTAGCTGCTTAATTAACATTTCGTTGTAAATTAGGTAGTTATGAGAACTTGGTGCTAATCAAGATAGCAGCTTCTACCTGATAAGTTTGAATATTCTCATTACCTGTTTGCTACTTATTGTATGGATATTATAGGGAGAAGTTTCATGTTAATCACTTCTGGGAGTTAAAGGGTTAAGAAGGTGTATACTAGGTTCTGGAGATATATATATATACCAGTCCTTTTTCTAGGCCTTTAAATGGGTGGTTCAAGCTGTTTAGCAGTTCACATTGCATTTTCTATCGTCATGGTCCAAACTCTTTTTAACCTAGACACCCCTGCTAATGGCAGGCCAAGATAGAAAATATGAGGAGTAAAACTACTAGGATTATAGCTTTGAGATGATGTATACTATGATTTAATATATATATTTAGCCAAGCCTAAAAGCTGAGCTCGCATTTTTTTTTTCCTGCACGTCTCAAGGGCACAACGCCTTGCCCTGGCCAGGACTAGAACCCAGGTCGTCTGACTCAAAGCCCAGTGCAATGACCACTGGACTACAGGACAAAGCCGTGTCATTGGGGTGCCCGCTGTACAGTTGACCACGCATGTTAAAAGTAGCACCTTGAACGGTTGTACGGTCGTACATCCAAATTTTTTTGGCTTGATGGGTTACTACTATTTTGTATTATTATGGGGTTACTCTCTGTGAGCTCCGCTATAATTCTTTATACCCAACCTTGTTAGTGTTCTTTTAAGTTGACCTTTATTTTACCTTAATGAAACAGATACAAAGTATATTATTTCAACAAATCACTATGCATACTTAAATGTAATAACGTAACAAATTTATATTTTCAAAAGATAAAAGGAAAATTCTATAACATATAATTTTCTAAGTGGGACTGCATTGGATTGTGGTGTACAAAGCTGCTAGAGTTGCATGATTTTTCATTGTTTTACTGGGGGGGAGGGAGGAGAGAGCAAAGCAAGACAAATTTTGATTTAATTTTTAAATAAGGTTCATCAAAAGTTCCTCTAGAAAAATAAAATGAACAACAAAAGTTTGTGACTGTCAGAGGATTCTACATATTTATGGTCAGGGGCTCTTAAAAGCCTCTGAGAACCAGAAGGTAAACTGACACCAATAACCTGGTTCACTGTATTTGTTGTTGGACTTTTCCTGAATGTGTTCTCCATTTCTGTGAGTGCTTCTGAACTTTGTACTTTCACAGCTTGTGTGATATTTTACATAGCAAATAGAATTAGGATCATTCTTGATGCTTCTCTTATTTACTGCTGCTTGACAAAATGTCTGTTTTTATCGGTGGAAGGGGTGTGCACTTAATGGTCAGTAATGGACAGACTGCTTTGCAATGCAGCCAGAAGAAAGGAGCAGTGGAAGAACTCTACAAATTCCTCATATAGTTTGAACTCACCAGTGGCCCAGTTCACCAACATCTTAGGTTGTTTTGACCTTTCAATCAATTGCAAGTTGATAAGGTTCTGTTGATGGGAATACTAAAGGTTTTGTATTGAGTTAGCAAAAATTACCTATGAGATGTTAGCAACATTTTTTGAGATGTTGGGGTTACAACATTAGATGTTAGTGCACTGGTCACTAGCAAAAAAAATTTGTAGTCAAAACAACCACCCATGTTTTAACAAGTGATCAATGAAAACTTGCAGCTATTTCTTTGCAATGGGTATGAAAGCCCTCTAATCCAAATTTATTGTATTAAAGGTATTAGTTTGAAAGTCATGAAAATTTTAACAAAGGGACAGATTCACATGTACACAAGTTATTGAATATTTGTTAACTGTAAAAGAAACTTGATTAAAAATAGATTGAAGCAATTTCCAATTGTGTGTTCATCCTTTAGTTGCTATGGGTGACTAGCACAGAATCTCTCCCTATAAGATCAAGCAGAAAAGTGATGGGAATAAAGAAAAATGTCAATAGGGGGAGTAGTAGTTGATCCGAAACCAAATCCTCCAAAGTAAACATGCGCATCATGGAAAAAACTAAACATTTATCATGAATAATTTTGACAAAAATTTTGAATAACTGCATGGTCAGGCACTGATTCAAGGAAGTAAGCTACTTTCATTTAATTTTTTTGTTTTTTCCAGATGATTGATTGTTGGTTGAGACAGGGTTTGGAATTTTGGTCCAGGTTTAAAATAGGGTTGGAATAATCTTGTAGTATAATTTGAGATAGGACAAAGGTTAATTTCAAGAGGTGTACTACTTCTCCATCCCTGCTTAAGAGAAGGATTAGAAGTACTGAGGGGAGCTTCTAGAGAGGACTTGAATTCAGTTATTGTTACTTTTGTTTGATATTGGGAAGGCTTCAACCCCCCTTCCCCTTCCCCAGCTCCTCCCCTTGTCCAATATTCTCTGTTTCAAAAATCAGGTTAAAGCTCTTTACTCAGTCTGGTATGAATTGACAGCAACACAAATGATAAATCTGTTTACATGATTTATTCAACATTCATCTGTGAAACTTAGGAGTTTTGCCCCTATGTACAAAAACACTCATATTTATAAAAATTGCAGAAACCACTGCAAAATTGGGCAAATTAACATGACATAAGTCTCTCATCACTTACCTACTGAAGGTATTTTGTCTTTAAAAGCAAGGAGTTCACATGTTTACAATTTGGTTACAATTTAATTGGCAGAAAGTATGAAACTACTTGAACCGGATCGCTTTGACTGAAAAAAATTTTAACACTGAAAGAAAACTTTTAATTCTGGCAAGCAAAATATGTATTGTATTTACCCATCTGATTCACTTTTAATCTCTAAAAGAACTTCATTAAACTTAACAAAAAACTTTTCCTTGTAACAGATATAAGTGATCAAAAGATATAGAAACATGCAGTAAATTTAAGATCGAAATAAACCAATCATAAAATAACAAAGTTTCCTGAGAGGTCCGAGATTTGTCTGTTTTCTATGCAGTAAGTTTTGTGCTTTTACTTCAATGTCATTGGTTCGTTTACAGAAAAAACTGTTTGACATCCTTTGTTCTCAATAATCATGTTGATTGGTTCATTTTTCTTCATTTCGATCCGATTCGCGCTTCACAAACTTAGTTTTCTTTCGTTCATTCACGATTCCAGCGGTTGTGTTGGAATTGTCACTGAGCTGGTTACCTTGCATTTTGAACTGTAAGTGGTTAAAAAATAATTTTTCCTGATTTATCCATTATTTGTCAATAAGCGATTCTATATAACAAGGCTGTAGTGAGACAGATTATTGTCAATTAAACTATTTGCGTATCGTTTCCCTGCTTCTGTGATGTTATTTGCTAAGAGGTTTAACTTACGGGGTGGCCAGCTATTTTGTCGAAGGCTTCAATGAAGTACTGTGCTGCCGCGTCTGAAATGTTATTTTCTGAGGGATCTAACGAGCGTAGCTGACATCTTAAGCAGTTGATGGCTTCTGCCAAGTGCTGTACTTCAATGTCTGAGAGAAATGACGTGAATACCTGACAGTTGTTGTTTTTGATGGCGTTAGCCAAGTACTGTGCTCCAATGTGTGAGATGTTATTTAATGAGAGGTTTAACGAGCGTAGCTGACAGTTGTTGTTGTTGATGGCGTCAGCCAAGTGCTGTGCTCCAATGTCTGAGATGTTATTTGCTGTGAGGTTTAACGTGTGTAGCTGACAGTTGTTGTTGTTGATGGCTTCAGCCAAGTGCTGTGCTCCAATGTCTGAGATGTTATTTCTTGTGAGGTTTAACGTGCGTAGCTGACAGTTGTTGTTGTTGATGGCGTCAGCCAAGTACTGTGCTCCAATGTCTGAGATGTTATTTGCTCTGAGGTTTAACGTGTGTAGCTGACAGTTGTTGTTGTTGATGGCGTCAGCCAAGTGCTGTGCTCCAATGTCTGAGATGTTATTTCCTCTGAGGTTTAACGTGTGTAGCTGACAGTTGTTGTTGTTGATGGCGTCAGCCAAGTGCTGTGCTCCAATGTCTGAGATGTTATTTCTTGTGAGGTTTAACGTGCGTAGCTGACAGTTGTTGTTGTTGATGGCGTCAGCCAAGTACTGTGCTCCAATGTCTGAGATGTTATTTCTTGTGAGGTTTAACGTGCGTAGCTGACAGTTGTTGTTGATGGCTTCAGCCAAGTGCTGTGCTCCAATGTCTGAGATGTTATTATATGTGAGGTTTAACGAGCGTAGCTGACAGTTGTTGTTGTTGATGGCGTCAGCCAAGTGCTGTGCTCCAACGTGTGAGATGTTATTTAATGAGAGGTTTAACGTGTGTAGCTGACAGTTGTTGTTGTTGATGGCTTCAGCCAAGTGCTTTGCTCCAACGTGTGAGATGTTATTTTATGTGAGGTTTAACGTGCGTAGCTGACAGTTGTTGTTGTTGATGGCTTCAGCCAAGTGCTTTGCTCCAACGTGTGAGATGTTATTTGATGAGAGGTTTAACGTGCGTAGCTGACAGTTGTTGTTGTTGATGGCTTCAGCTAAATACTTTGCTCCTTCGTCTGTCAATTGATTTCCTCCGAGGCGTAACCAGCTCAGTTGAGATTTACTACATTTTAACAACTTACAAATTTCAAAACAACCTAACGGACCAAAGTTATTGTAAGCCAAACCTAAATGTGAAATTTGTTGAACATTCGTAATTACAGTAACCAATGAAGCACAATCAACAGGTGTGAGTTGACAACGAACAAAATTTACCGAAGTAAAGTTAATTTGCTGTAGTTTTCTCTGAACTATTTCCTCCATCTCACTGCTTTCGGTAACACATTTAAATAATGTCACTGCTAAATGTTTTTTGTCTTCAGTCGGCCAACGCATTACTTTCCTTGGCTCCGTATCCTCTGGCCACTCTTCGTCGTAGAACTCGCTTTCTTTCTCTTCAGTTTCCACAGGAAGAAGGTCTGTGATGATTTCACTCGGTAGTTTTTCTTTCTCGTTCATTAGTCCTGCTAGAAACTGAAAAACCAGCTGCCATTTGCCGTCCTCGATGTTCATTGAAACAAAGTTTCTCAATTCTGTTTCACTCATGTTCGCTAGATGCCTCGCAGCGAAAAACTCTTGCATTGTTAAATGGATGAAACAGAATTGTTGTTCACGTTTTAACGCAACAGTTTCACGGTCAAGTAAGCGGTGAAAAAGAGCGCTGTCTTCCATTCCGCGTACTTCATTTCCTCCAAAGACTAGCCTTCCTTCTTTAATTCCTTCAAATGCCATTTTTCCAGTTTCTCGAATTTCTTTTCCACTTCAGGGGGCAAATCGTCTGATTCAAAGTCTTCGCGGGTGAAATTCTTGCCACGGAATTCTTTTGTTGTGGCCTTGTAAAAAAAATTTTCACAGCTTTCTTGTAAATATCTGTTAATTTCGTTGGTAGGCTTAGACTTTTAGAACCATAGAACTTCACCATTTGAAAGAGACTTGAGCAAATGATGAAGCAACTCGCAGGAATGTAGCATAGAGAGAGAATGTTCCTGTTGCCGCCGATGTGTCGCCATATTGTTTCGCCCGCATGCTTGTCCTCTTCAGCAAATTTGGTTACGTACTCTTCGACTTGTTCGGATGAGAAGCCGAGGATCTCAAAGACTTTGTCGAAAGAAAGACGTTCGATGCATGACAAAGCCGTAGGTCTTGTGGTTGTCAAAACGGCAGCTCCGTTGAGAAGTTTCCCAGACGCAAGCTTCTCGTAAAGAGCAGACAAGGGCATCTTCTCGTCTACATGGTTTCTGAATTTAGGATCGAAATTTTCCTCGCCGATCTTTGAATTCTGTTTAAATTCATCGATTCCATCGAAAACAAGAAGAACTTTCTGGGGGTTCTCAAGGACGTAATTCCAGACTTCATCATCCATGTGTTTTGAGGGGGAATGTTCTGACAAAGTGAGCAGTTCCCTGAGGCTTAGGTCGGCTGCGGCGTTGAATGCTCTGAATTTGATGAAGAAAGTAGCATCAAAATGGAGTTTAGCATCAGGTGTTTTATGGAATACTTTGTTAAATGCCCAGTCCCTGAGAACTTTGGAACAACAAAGTGTCTTTCCGATTCCGGGACGACCAACAATCAACACTTTTTTGTTTTCGTGGTTAATAATGTCCTCCGGCCCTCTAGGTGTTGTGTTTTTCTCACCCGATCTGGCGTAGACTTCGAGTTTCTGCTGTCTGTCTCCAGTAAAGTCATAATTAGCCATGTCTGGAACAACGACAAGGTTTGTGTAAATCTGATCCAGAGTCAAATGTTTAGCTGGGCGTCCTTCGCCGTGAGTACTTGAAAAAGGCGACCGGAGTTGGGGAGGTTGATTTGTCTCATCTTTAATAATTCTCTTTGTACCCTCGATGAATTCCTGAAGCCGTGGTTTTTGGAGTTGTTCAGGCTCGCTTGGTAGATGTGGGATGTTCGTTCCATGGTCTGTACTTTCCTTTATCTGGTGCAGTTCTTGTGGGACGTTCGTTTCATGCTCTGTTCTTTCTTCTTGGTTCTGAGGTTCTCGTGGGAGGTTTGTTTCATGATTCGTTCTTTGTTTTTGCTGCCGAGGATCTGGTTTTAATGCGGTCGCGGTGGTAGCATTTTGTGAGTTGCCATGGAAGGGATTCAGGTGAGATTTTAGAAAGTTTGAATTTTTCATGAAACTGTTTTCTTTCCACGCACGTAGCAAAATATAGACGGTTTCTATCAGAATTCCAAAGAGAAAAATTCCGTTCACGATAAGAACAGCGCGCATCCAAGAGTTTTTCTTAGTTGCTCGCTGATTATGACACTCGTGCAAGGTTAAGGTGGAGTTTTGCATAACGCCAGTAGAATTCCTTGGCTGATTCCCCTCAGAGGTTAGATGACAAGAAAAGCTGGAGGGAAAGTCCCGAGGATAAAGAACCTGAGTTTGTAGGACCATAAAGAGAACTCCTAAAACAATCCTTGCGACAAGCTGAGAGCAGTAAGCGATAAAGAGCTTTTTTCCAGCTTTCTCTTGGTCGGGCGACTGTCTCTCGAGATCATCGTTCCGAGCGCTTCGCGACAGTCGATCGACTGTAGGGCTCGCTATTTGGGAGTAAATAGCACAGACAGTTGCAATGAGGAAAAAGTTCATGGTTAGGAAGCCATAGGTAGCAACATCGTGTTTGTTATACTGCTTCTCGTATAACTCGAAACATCTTCCACGTACAAGGTCGATGTTTTCACTGTTTGCCCCGCCACAGCGGAAATCATACCTGGATTCGCTGCTTTCTGCGTCTGCAAAAATTCCAAGGAAGATTACACCGATTAGAATCCAAACAACAACTGCGGCATGGCTGACTCTGTGAAATGTTTTTGGTGCAAGTAATTCCTTGAGATTATCCATTGTTAGCGTTTGTATTCTCACTGTTTTCGATTAGATGTAAATCGCATTATGTCGTAAGTTGAAATAATGAAAGTGTGGTGGTCTTCCGGTCGGTCATTGCTCCAGATTTTACGGTTTATTTATGGAAACAAATACGATTTTAATTCTTGGCAAAGTGAACGGCTGTCAAGTAGTTATCACACGCCATCTTTTTCTCGGCTACTCAGGAAGCTGATATGGGAAACTGTGACAGGAAACTGAAATGGACACATGTGCTTTCAGATTTAATCTGAAGCAATAGAGGATTACGAGTGTGGCGAAGGATTTTGCTTTCTAAGGCAAATTACACCCTTAGTAGTGTTATCACAAAAGAAATTGTAAATTGTCACTGAACGTTCTCCTTTACCTTCCCCTTCCACCTAAGTCGAAGTAATTTACTAAGTATGATCGCCTCTAAACACGGCTTGGTCGTTCAACGTTCATTTTTCCAACTAGTTTTCAAAATCGTGTGCTTTTACGATTGACTTGTACGATTGACAACTGAGATACAAAAGTGAAGACATGGGAGACATCACCGTGTTAAAAATTAAACCTCGGATTTTTAGCGTCATTTGTTTTCTATTGTACTACTTTTTAGAGATTTGCATTGATGTAGAGTACCCCGTTAATTTTTTTTCCCCAAAAGATATGGGATAACAATAAGCACTAAAAACCACAGGAGTGATCCTCGCAACAATAAGCTAAATTTGATGTCTCTCTCGCTTCATGTGGCCTCGTAGCTTAGTTGGTAGACGCCCAACTGACATCTGCGAGGCACGGGTTCGAATCCCGTCCAAATGGGAATCTTATCAAGCTTTTTTTTCCGCAATTGCTTTTACTGCAACTTTCTTGCAAATATCATATCTTAAGTTCTACAATTATGGGAACTTAATTTCGCGGGTACTTAATTTTGCTAATGTTATGGAGAATTCCCGTTAATCAGTTTTTGAGGACAGTCTCCAAAATTCACCGATAGATTTTCTGAAAACTTTAGGATTTCCTATTTTGAGATAAGGCCTCGCAGCTGAGTGAATTTAAACAAATTAAATCAAGCCGTTTCAAAATTATGATGCTGCTAAGCGACAGTTGATTTAACTAGCGCGACACGATACAAATTACGGCGAGAGCTCTAAATCGCGGTCTATTCAATAGATTATATTTGTGTTACGTCGGACAATTTTTATTCTGTTCTTAGCTGTTGTGCTTAGTTTTGAACTTTTTCGTTGAGTCGAGGAGAAACTACGGCGTCGCTAATGATGAGTAATTACATGTAGCACTAATATTCACGGAGCAAAAGAGGAAAAACAAGCGAAATCATTTTGGCCTACAGCCCGACGGCAGACGCGATTTTCAAATTATTTTGATAAATTCTATGTATTCAGGCAAAACTTTTTACTATAGTACCACCGTCCATATATTTTAAAAGTAGCGACATGAAGAAAATCCTGGTCCTTCAATATATGCTAACCCTAACAAAACAATAGCACCTGATTAGCTTGGTTATGGGCCCTACACTGTATCAATTGGCAAAACTCCGAGTTGCACTTGCGAAGATTTCCTGAAGAGCCGAATGGTGAAGATCTGCAGGCACTTGATTTGGATGTACGTAGTCGTCCTCAGACGATGAAAAGGACGATACCCTTCAACAAGCAGCACTCACTGAGCAGGAAGTCCGCTCTATTTTTCAACGCGCACCACTTCCGTGTACTCAGCCAAAGCCCGCCTTAGGTAAGAAACGCTTAGTCTCTAAGAGTGGCACAAACGATGCGCAGAGTAACGCTGACAGAGTGATTAGAAATGACCCGCGGAGTAATCACCCACAAGTGCGGCGTCTGGAGCGGTTGAATCGATCCACCGGCCCCAAACCACAGTGTGTAGGGTGTAAGAAAGTGTCCTTTGATACTGGTGATATTCTGTTGGCGGTTGATGCTCTTTACGTTCCACGCAACAAGGAATTTTGTGTTCAGCGTACGTATAGATTCTGTGTCGACGCTCCGTGCTTCTCCGAAATGCCAAGGTTTTCAAACTTAAAACCAGCCAGAAACGCACTTGCCGGTCGAGGAGCGACTCAGGAAGATATTGAAAGAGCATTCTCTATGGGGCTAACAATTGAGGGAATGCAACCTCACACTGAATTTTGAAAGTAGAACGAAGTAGTTGTTTTTGTTGAGTGACATGTTTTAACTCGTATCGTCTAAGTTTCAAAAGGAAATCGTCGATAAAAGTTGTCAACGAACCTCTCGGTGATGAAGATGTGTGACATGAGTGTATTACACAGCTATTGCACGATAAGAAGGGGACCATTTTCGTTAAAATAAGTATTTATTAGTTTCCGCCAGCTGCCTAGACGTTTTTGATAAAAGCCTCGACTAAGGACCGGCTCACACGTGCTACAAAGCATTAAAAACCTGACTTGCGAAGCGTCTGTTTCACAACATTCACTCGCCCAAATTGGGGATTCAAAATAAGATATAAAATCATCTTGCCTGAGTAGTTTGCGAGCAATCATTTTTGACTCTAGTGTACGTTTTGTTTAGTTATTACATACCTTGGGTGAATGACAGTGAATTCAAGAAGTTGTGCACAGCGAGAGGTGTGTCCAATTATTCCTTCACGTCTAGGTTTAACACAGTTTAAACAATTGAGTTCACAATTTCAGTTGTATTTGAAGTTTCATATTATAATACAACGTTCAGGTTAGGTTAACTGTATGCAGCTACATGTTACACTTAAGTAAATAAAGTTCAAGTTAGCCTTGTTCTTTGGGTGGAGATGGCTTTTCTTCCTGTGCTAATCCAATTCTTTACTGTCGCTGTAAAGGATGGACAGTTCACGGTTTTTGTTATAACTTACTGCTCGCTCCTCGAGCAGGTAAGAGGTAGCGAAACCTGAAATCGTGTTTTCTGATTGACTACCTGGCCGGCAGTATGGGGCTATCTTACCCACTTTGGATTGCTTGTTTTGTTCCCGCAAGGAAACATTCTTAAGTCAATGAGTGATCTTTTGGCCATGTTACGGCGAGTTTTCATTGAGAAGCGAAATGCTACCGTTATTTACATGTGCGACCGTTGAAATGACAATGAGAAACAGTCACAACTTTATTTATTCTCCGCAACATGTACAACAGCAATTAACGGTTTTGTCAAACGCTTTTTAGTACTTATTAATTCTAACAGTTTAGTTTGGACTACCCAAAATTGCATCACCAAAAATGCGAAGATGCCACCTTCGGAAACTCGTTGTTAGACTCGTTAGAACTTGTGAATGCGTGCGATCTTCCTGAGGATGTCATCGATATTTGTTGCATTTGCTTGGACCGAATACAATCGACTGAAAATCGAAGATGAAATTGACCTAAATGCGCACTGCGGGGCTCCTGAATGCTTGCTGAAGGCTTCATGAACTTCATAAATTGCTTCCTCGACTACAGGTAATCATAACAGATCGGTATAAACGACCAAAGACATCGAAAAGGCCGCTAAACTTACCTGTTACGATCTCTTTCCCCGAAACAACACAGAGGGCTGAATGTGAGTTTCGTCTATTTTGAGACAAATGCTGATTGGATATTGATAGAAGGAGGTCGCTAAATGGTTGAATTCCTGGTTTTCCCAGGAGCAGTCCGATGACTGGGTCGCAATATGGATATTTCTAGTAGGCCGTTTCTTCACCCGAATCATCGATCCAGTGTATCGAAAATTCTCAGTTGCTGAAAAAAATTGCTACTGCCTACGCTGATGCTCCGGCAGCGATAAATCCTCTCAGGTTGTAAATGAGCGCATCAGTGCGTGAATAGGGTACAAAACACTTTCCATGCTATAGTTTGTTTATTTAAAATTTTTTTTCAGATTTTCAACTTCAAATGCTTTCTAGAGAGGAGCCAAAGACTGTCATAATAAAGAAAGGAGAGAAAATGGAAAGATATTGAAAAAAAACTGGCTCGCAAGAGGAGGCTCAAGGCTCGCAAAAAACGGCTCCGGCTCGCAGGCTCGCACGTTAGTTTAACTCTTGTTGTTTACCTCTTGCTGAGTTGTACTGTAATTAAACATTTTAGTCCGGATTCACTTGTTCCGTTTTATTCAAGAAGTTATTTTGATTATAATCCTCAGGAAGCCAATGGTGTGGAATACTGTACACGACGAGATGTTATGTAAAAAAAATATTGGTTGTAGATCCCTTTACTGGGACGAAAAAGGGTACATTGGAAAGAGGAACTTAGTGGGAAGAGGTCGCCGAAAACTTGAACAAAATTCATCAAGTGTACTTTAAAGTTGACAAGTGGGCAGTCCGAGATCGTTACAACCTCCTTTCAAAGGAACTTAGAAACAAATTGGAAAGAGAAGAAAAAGAAAGCAGAATCGAAACTGATATGAAAAAGGTTGAAATGACACTAGTAGAATTAAGATTTGCATTCCGTATTATCCATCGCATCCAAGTCGAACATTTCGTATTCTTCGTGTAGAAATTCTGGATTCTTCGAGAAGTTTCCTTTATACAACAAAATAAATAAATAGCTTTCCAAGAGAAGATTCCTAACGTCTTTAAAGGGTTTCATTGCTGTTATAAAACGAAAAATATCGGCGTCGCTGTCGTACACGAAAATACCACCTACTTAAGTATTTTGTTTTTGGACTCACCCGAGTCTTACTCTTCCAGTGACGTCACGCGTTCTTTTATTCATACCGTCTAACATTTACATTGGTTTGGATATGTCATGGTGGGTGCGAAGCAAGCAATACTTCTACACTTGTTTTAAGTTAGACATCCGAGACTTATCCTGAAACTGATCAAGTAAGTGCTTTAAAGCCAACAAGATATTACACAGTTACGGTCAGTTGATGACGAGTTTTCCCTGCTAGAGTTTAGTTTATGCAAATCAGGCTTAGACGGAGCTTACTGTAAAGGAAGAACTAAGTTGGCTGCTAAAGTACAGATGAATTTTTGGTAATTACTTCTTTGGCACTCTCCGGCGTCCAAATTCC